ATTAATTTTGAAATAAATGATGTTATAATTATTATCATTAATTTAAATTTCCAAAGTATCCATCACTATAGCATCCATGCTAACAAGACTCTTTTTGACCATTAATTAAGTTAAAATGCATTAATATTTTACTCGTCAATAATAAATTCCTTTTAATTGAAAATTACTTCATCCGAGGAATTTTTCTACATCAAGCAATATTTATATCGGTTCTTTCATTGTTGATATTTTGAATGATATTATGCCGTCGACTATTTTATTTAGATAACCTTGCACAATCACAGAAATGTAATTAAATACTGCACGCATTGAGATTTCTGTGGCTTCGTATCCATTATATGCCACTACATAACTTATTTAAAATACAAGTTAACACGATGAATATGAATTTGGTTGGGAGGTGCAAAACTAGAGGAAGACCGAGAAAGATTTGGATGAACTGTGTGAAGAATTACATGTGAATGAATTATTGAATACAATCACATGTATGAATTAACTGTGAGGAAAGTGGAAGGTCCTTTAAATGTTGTGCCGACCTCACCTAGTGGGGGATAAGGGCAGCAGAAAGAAGAAGACAGGTTCACATAATGTAATATGTATATTAACAAAAATCTAATGGCTGAAGAAAGGTGGTTTCTACAAAAGAAATATTCACATGAAATATTATTAAAATTTACACATATCATTTAATTATTCGTAAGATAACAGTTATATTTATTGAAGTACATTAGATGTAACACAATTTTTTTAAAATTATATCATCAATCACTTATTTTTTTTAGATTAAAGCGTTTACAAATAGAAGACATCTAGCATGTGAAAGAAAAATATAGGTCAGTTATGTCTGGCAACATTTCAAAGTTTTCCTTCATCTTAATGATACTTAGTGGAGATGATATAGACCAACTAGCGGCATAACACTAAAACTGTGATCAGGTTGTAAGTTCGAATCAGTATTAACAGGGTATGTTGTAAGCATTACCTTGAGAGACCAACATATATCTGTATCACACCAATGTAACATATTCGATTTGTTTGTTTGTCTCTCACGATGGATCAGAGCATTGTATCGATATAATTATTGCACAGGGATAGTTTAAAGATCGGAGAAGGGAATATCTACTTTTCATCCCGGATTAGTAGACGGTTCCTTTGGAATGAATCTGGAGCGTCGTTCTAGAATCTAGACACTTATTACCAGGGCACTATAAATTATCGCGAGGGACGTCGCGAGCAGCAACTGGTATTTAATATACATATCAAAAATATCTAGAGATCAAACACGCTTTTACATTCTGTAAATGACGTTTCTTTTTTATATTACACTTCTAAATAATTTCAATAAATTGCATACATAATACAGAAAAGATACAGATTTCGAATACATAGAGATGTAATTCTACTTTGGGTTTGAGAACAAATCTCAGTACCAATTCTCCCCCATTTTTAGTCAATTGGTACGGGAGAATTAGTACTGAGATTTGGTCAAGTCAAATTAGTAACAAACATCGTTATCGTGGAGATATATCACTTATATAGATACTTTATAAAATACCTGATAATCAGGTACCAAGAACTGAGGCAAAATTAAAAAACGTTTTTTGACTCACTACTCTAATCTAGTGTTATTTCTCGGAAGTAAACATAAGCCCAGCAACTACAAAACTACAGGTGACATTAATCATCATGCGAGATGATATATAAAAATTAACATCTGTGTAAAGAATATGAAAAAAAAAATGTTGACAGGTAAATTCCGCTAACCCAACGCTGTATCGGGTCTGAGCTGTGTGCAGAGATGTCAGTACATCTCTGCATAGATTTTCACTCAACATTTGAAAGAGATCCCGAAACCTCTAGCGCACTAGCTGTAGCGACCAAGAGGTTCACTCCTCGTATCTCCCATAGGGAAGACACAGTTCCTACAGGATGAACGTCCTGAAAACACGCGCATTCTAACTCGCCCACTTTATTAAAAGGCAACACATTTGCAACTCTACGGGTGTTGCAATATGTCAATGGGTTCGCCCATCACTTAATATCGGATGGACCACCTTCACGCAAAAATATCCTCACTACATACCCTCTCGAAGGTGACCCTCTGGCGCCGAAAGAACTGCGATATCCCACACAGATACATTGTGGAGCACAGCACTGGACAACAAGATCACCGCACAGCGCCCGCGCTCGTTTAACTATCGTAAATTAATCAGTGGGGGGTGCCCTCAAGACTGACACTACATTTATGATATAAGATGGCGCTCCCGTCTCAGTTATTATTGGACGGCGCAGTAATAGTTCATTACTGGCCGTATACAGGCTGATGAAAAAAATTTTGACAAAAAATTAAAAAAAATAAAAAATGGCGCCAAAACTATTGCATTATACATTACGTCGTCGCTTGTTTATTTTCGCTGTCGTTTATTTGGAACTTTTAAAATAACTGTATCCTCACTTTGCTGTCGGGGTTAAATATAACCATTTAACAAGTTAATGCTGAATTTGTTGAATAGATAATATTCGATAATGTTGTAAACATTTATCGATGTCATTTATATCGTAAAAGGCGGATGTCATCGTGCTCAAGCCTGGATTTTTATTTCAGGGGTGGCAACTGAGCAACCTTGTGGTGGGGGACGTCCATGGACAACACTATAACGCGCTTGTCTTAAATGTCACGAAACATTGAGTGTGGGTCTTGGGTTACCTTTTTGTTAAGAACTGTAAAGAATGTTATAAAATATTTCTGTGAATTAAAAACCGTATAACAAAATAACTGCTAATACTCATGTAACAATCGAGCGCTCAGTTAGTTTTTCAAGTATGAAAAACTATGTGGGCGCTCACAGACTTTAATTCTTACGATGATAATCCGTATTTAAATATTTATTTGATAGAACACAGTAATTGACCGTAAACAATATTTTTAATAATCGATGTCGTTAAACTATCAAGCTGTTGACCCAATAGCAAGCGATAGCATCGTCCAACTAGCTAATTTGTTCATCCGAGCCATTAAAATGGTCGCTCTCCCACTTACCTCAACAGACGCAAAACTATAAATAATTCTTACACTTCTTTTCGCGTTACAACTTGTAGATATTTCTCCATTAAAGCCTGTTCATTATTGAATTCATAAATACTTTCACAATAGAATCAATGTTTATTTTTACATTTGCCCGTCTACGTGCGAAACATCCTGTAGCTCCCCGAAGTTAGTTCGAGCCGGCCATATCCCGCGGGAACCGACGCGCCTCTAATTGTTTACAATTCCCTCCACGCCACAATACCATTAACAGACGCGAGTTGTGAACACGCAGAAGAATTCCCGTCGCAACTACATTGATCAATGCTCGACATACTAGCCGCGCCATGCGGCGTCATCCACGTATTTTAATTCTAAGGTTACATTTCATTCTTAAGAGCGATATTTTCTTTGGAGTTCGTGGTAAATCAAAATTACAATTATCAATTACACAAGGGCGCCCGGGTTTGAACTTGGTTGCTCGATTGTACTAAATTAAAATCGGGCACTTGGATATTTAGATACCGCGACTTCGTGTAGGCTTTATTTCAACTTTACTTTGACTTATTGTCATTTATTGTTGGTAAGATTTCTGCATGGAATAAATATTTGCGTGATGGATGAATAATGGTGCTTTCGTAAAGCTACTCCCGTTATGCCAAGCTTGTTTCGATTAAAACATGACAAGCCTGTTGCCGGCGACAAGTCCAAAACACACTGAGGTTTTAGTAGTCCCTTAACAGTACAGTGGTAACAGTTTCGAATCTGCGACCTTGCATCGCAACTCCGATCATTCAGCCATTGCTGTCTTATCGTCAACAGATTGTAAACAAATTTTCAATAACACAAACATAATATCTCTTATACGAGGTCGCCGACTAAATGGGCAATAAAATGCTGAGATAATTCCAATTACATACAGGTTAAAAAATAATATTTATCATTTACTCAAGTTAATTACTTACTTATGATATCTTTTTTAACTCTTTTAATTCTGTGGTTTATATTATAGCATATCGTAGTCATTATTAGTTCTTTACTCTCAAAGAAAACTGTTCCATAAACACGAACCATTTTTATGTGTCATGAAGGAAATGTATTAGAATGTTAGTTATAACATCAATTAGAATTTAAATATAACTACTTTTAACTGTGGTAGGGCCACGGAACAGCTTCGGTTGTTGCAAGAATGGGCAGGTCCGTCTGGGTAAGTACCACGACCTCACAGAAGACCTGCGTGAAGTTATTCTTCAGCCTTCTGTCGGATGATTGAGGTAGCTGGGACCCACTTCATTAAATGGTGGCAACGCATCTGCAACACTACGGGTGTTGCAAATGTCCATGGGCGGCGGTTATCGCTTAACATCGGGTGAACCGCCAGCTAGCTGTCTCCTTCTCACATAAAGAAAATCTTAGCTGCAGAATTTTTGCAAATAATCGATGCATCGTAGGCTCCACATCAGCTTTAGATATTAGAGGAAATTAAGTCCGCTTTCAAAATTCATGAAATAAAGATATCAGTAATAGAGAGAAAACGTTTTGAACTTTATTTATCCCAGGTAAACGATTATTTACGACTCTTCAGATTATTGTTATTACTTTTAAAACGACCATCTATTCCTCAAAATGACTAAACTATGCGTAAATATATCCCACAACGAAATGGTTTGTTATTTCTCACTCTATACAATTCAAATTGAACTTGTCATTTAAAATAAGCTGTCAATTACATTTCATAAAATATAATTATAACTAATATCTAACGGTCTGTTAGCTATTTAACGAATCTGCAGGGCAGTGTTTAAATGTAACGTCGCACTTAGATAATTGATAAACCATTAGCGTGTTCAGATCACTCATTTTCCTTAACAGTCCATTAATACATTTAACAGGATGTACAATAAACAAACAGTTTGTTTAAATAGACCCTGTCCGCATAGCATATATGTTATTTTATCGATCGGTGTGTTTCTCATTGATTCACATCATTCGTGCAGTACGCCTTCAGGCTGCCCTTCAAGGCCACTCCAGCATCAGCTCTGATGATGGCCTTGAAATAATTGTATCCCACACCGCCGCGCAGGATTATCGGTATCCCATCGGTCGTCTCAATCGCTATGTGCGTTATCTGTGGGCATAATTTGATTAAAAACATGTCTGTACATAGTATAAAATAAAGTCGTCTCGTTGTCTGTCTGTCTCTATATATGCTTAGATCTTTAAAACTACGCAACGGACCTTGAAGCGCTTTTTACTAGATAGACTGCTACTACTAGTGAATGGCCAATACTATACTAATTTACTGGGACCCACACGTGAAACAGTAACTTGTATTTAAAAATAAAAAATATAAAACTGTGCTATTCTTTCATTATCTACTCGTGCCGTGAACATTTTAGGGATTTTATCGCGCTTTATTTCGTGTTCTAAATTCCGTCGTCGTTTCGAATACTTTACAGCGTTCATGGAAGAAAGATAGACGTTATTGTAAAATATTAAATTCAACATGTTTTCAGTATATTCACACAAACATCTATGGATCATTTACCCATTTCCACGCTTATGAGTGCATCAAACTTTAGCACAGATGAATCTATGACAGTACAAAAAATTTCCTAATGTCCAAACAGCCATTTCTTAATTATACATTTTTTGTTACTGTAACTTATAGCATTTTCATAAAAAATACATTAATTAACTTATTCTATGGTTATTACGAACTATACTTGTTTATGAAATGTTTTCTATTGTTGATATTATCATCACGTTGTTTATTACGGGTAAAGTCCTGACAGGTCGGTTAATGGATGTTAGAAACTACGTTTCTGGCACCCGATCAAATTGATTATGGATCTATTCCGGCATCAAAGTCTTATATCAGTGATGAAAACTCAAGTTCAACTCCTATATATCAACAAATCATGTGTAATACTCCATAAGGTTGTATTAGTAACAAAAAAAAGCTTGTCTCAGTAACATAATTTCAAATTATAGCGAATATTAATATCGAACGGAGTAATTATTTAATATTTTTTGTATACACTATGTACATAAATTATTAAATAATATTACGTTTAAAAAATAAAGAGTTGGCGTTCGCATATGAGGCTTATAAGGGGGCATATACACGTGAATCATGCTGTAAGCGTTGGCGTTTTGGCTAAGTTTTTTATGACGGGTCGCATGCCTGATGGGTTGACGTCAAGCAGGCCGTGCTTGGGAAATAAAACACCCAGATCCGGAACAATTATTTGTGGGCCACACAAATACTTGTTCCGTGTGGGAATCAAACCCGAATGTCCCCCGACGCCGAATGCGCGCAACTACGTTCCTGGCAAAGCGATAATCTACACATAGTATAAAACAAAGTCGCTCCCGCCTGTTTGTACGCTTAAAATCAAATCAAAAAAATCAAAATCATTTCATTCATCGACATAAGAAACTTACATTTCATCTATCGATAGTCATATTTTTTTTAAATCTACCACCGTTTCGTAATGAGGTTCCTCTAGCGGACAAGAAACAGGCGAAAGATACTCCGTAGGTATCCTCTTTTATGTAATTCATTTTTTTTCTTAAAAAAATTAAAATATTATACAACAAATTTTTTTTCCTTTTAGGAATAGCTTGGGAGCGATCAACTCATTCCCAGGGGTTATTGTCATTAATGTATTCATTTGTATTATAATAACCCTTTTTACAAAGTTTTTCTTTAATAAATTTCTTAAACCTGTTAATAAAAATAATAAATTTGTTGTAAAAGCGTTTACACCGCCCCATGAACGAGTTACTTACTCTATGAAGTCTAGTTACTGGCGTTACAAGCTTGTGTTTTTTCCTAGTGTTCACATTATGTACATCAGTATTCTTATGAAAATTATCAATATTTCTACGCACATACATAACATTTTCATATATATATTGAGTGGCTAAGGTAAAGAAATAAATATATTATTTATTTCTTTAAACTTCTCTCTCAAAGATGCATTCAAATCTAGATTATAAATACCTCTTATGGCCCTTTTTTGCAAAATAATAATCGTTTCTTTATCGGCCGCGTGCCCCCATAACAAAATACCATTTAACATTATGCTATGGAAGTAACTAAAATACACATTACACACGCTTAGATCTTTTAAACTACGCTACGGATTTTTATGCAGTTTTCAGCAATAGATAGAATGATTCAATATGAAGGTTTATACGTAATATAAAGAAATTGAAAGAAAATTTGTAAAGTCGTTACAAGCACATTTTCGTGCTAAGCGCACAAAAGCTGTCTAAATCTTACAACATGTTTCAGAAGTTCGGATAAATTTTATAAGAGTGATCACTCCATACTGTCCCACATTAATATCTATATTGCGAGCGAAGCCGGGGCGGGTCGCTAGTATCGAATAAAGCTATCCCTTTGGTCTTCCGTTTACCTTGCAAGCGACCATCGCCTCACAGAACACGCGGTGCCCCGACGCTTTGGGTAAGAAGTTGAAGCGCTTTATGTAAATCCTCTTGTCACCCTTTTTGCGGGCGCCCTGGTATATGCTTGCAAATGGCGACCTCACGAACGGCGACGCCGTAGACGCAAGTGGCTCTGGGAACGCATACGCGGCGCTCACACGACGGTAGTTCGGGCTGAATTAATAATACAATTAGACTGGCAATACTATACGAACATTATGTTTCAAAGATTTTTTCGATATGAGAAGGTGGCAAACGAACTGGCGGTTCACCAGATGTTAAATGATAATCAAAAAAAAAGAAAAAGCGCAAAATTATAACACTTCCACTTCCCGCCGGACTTGTATAAGATAGTTGTATACTTAACCGGACGAACCCATTTCTTTCTTTCAACATCGAAAATTGTTGCGTTGCCCTACCACAGATATGAAGTAATAATAAAAATAGAGACTATTTCGAACATTAATTGTACTGAGAATTAAATTGGGAAGTGTTATGTGCAAAAAGTTAGCTATCGCAAACTTGGCATTACATTATGCACTATATGTAGTTCCAAGTTTTACTTGTGCTATACATAAATAATACGTTAAACTGTACATATGATATCTAATTACGAAAACGTGACTACTAAAAGGTTGCGGGCCAATGGTCTAATGGCTGCAATGTCAGACTGCGATTTTGTGGTCACAGTTTCAAATAGCTGGCGTGTTCCAATGAGTTTTGCCGTTTTGCAATTGGATTTTTTTTTGCATTTCTTACTTGTAAGAGTCACTGACTCGCTTTCACACCTAGCAAATACATACATACTTTGCTTTTATTAACCAACCATTAATCTGTTTTCATGTTACTAATATTTAAACACTCGGAGATACTTCAACGTTACGTTTAATTTCAAAATATTGAGAATAGACCTTAATAATCATCGCACTTGTTGATAGCTCAAACGAGATACTTTGATAATCCCTCGAACACGCAATCAAACATTTTTGCTAAGTTCACTTTGAATGTAGCCGTGATAGCTCAGTGTCCGGGCGCTCGCCTTTAATTCAATATACTCGAGCAACCTGAGTTCGGCACCAATGAAATTTTTAACTTTAAGTGCTGACTTATCACGTGCTCCACGGTAAAGGAAAACATCGTGAGGAAACCTACATATTATCGAAATAATAACAAAAAGAAATATTTCGAAGATATGTGAAGTCTGCCAATCCGCAGTGGGGCCGCGTGGTAGACTATGCCCTGATACCCTCTGTATAGAGGAGGCCTTCGCCCAGCAGTGGGAGATGTATAGGCTGTTACTTTACTACTTTACTTTACACTTGGAATGCTTATTTACTATCCGAACGAACAAAATATGCAAATTTATTTACTTACATCACACGCTTACCTAATCCGTAGTTTTGCAATTTTTCGTATCGAAAATTTTGATCGTTACCAAAAGATTTCATTAAAAAACAGCGGGCCATTATAAACAGATTAAAAATAAAAAATATTTCGCCATAACCAGCCTTCATTGTGAAAGAACATTCTTAATATTTAACATATATTATGTTCTATAACATAACTACGCATGTGCATTTAACGAAATTATGCACATTTGTACAGGTACATACGTGTAAGGTCAATAAAAATGAAATAGCCAATTACACTGCCGCTTACATATTTGTTAAGGCTAGGCATATCGTAGTTTTCACATTGAAATTTATGCTGTAGTACAATATCACTTAGATTTTTTTGTCAAATATGTATTCATTGAATCGTTACTAGCTAGAAATACATATTTATATTTCTATATTTAACATAGTGAACATTTAGCTTTATCAAAAAAAATATTAAATGACAGGCGTTATGTAACATAGTGAATTAATTTGGCTTTATCAAAAAAAAATTAAATGATAGGCGTATTTAAATGGCGCTAATATAATAAGAAAATAAAGCTGCACTTTATAAAAACAATTAACTCGGAGGAAAATGGCTCTTTTTTTATTTAAGCTTGCAAGATGTCTCATATTTCAAAGTACAGTCGAATAATTTGTAATTAACAAGACCTTCCCTCCTTCATTTTCCTACTATTCAATAAAAATGTATTGATTTGTGCAGCCTTGTGAACGAAATATTTTTCTTTTACCAGTCACGTTTTGTTCTTTAGTATTAATTATTTTCCACTTAGTGATCGTTAATTTTGAAATAGTCACGACCATTGTTAGGTTATTATTATAAAAAAAGTTGAAAATGAAAATTACAAATTATTTATCTACATATGAAAGACTTTATATCGGCCTAAGAATAGATCAATTGTTTAAATAAATTTTAAAATGTGAAATTGACACGTTTGTGATTTTGAACAAGTGTGCCTTAAGTATGATCGTTCATAAAACATAAAAGAAATCATAAATTTTAAATTTTCCAAACGTTGTTATCGCTTTCATCCGTGTAGAACGCTTTCGTTGTTGCCTGAATATTTCTTTGCACAAACATAAAGAGAAACAAGGGCATAGAAAATTGTATATACCTGTAGTTTAAAAATACTTTACTAATATTTTGGACAATTACAGTGGTTCAGCTACCATGAAAATTTGAGACCCATTAAAAGATTACACGAGGATTTCCCGTGTTCTTAACGATATCTACAATTCACTAATCTTTATTTTTATTAAACTCCGCTTTAACCCAGGGGTCGAGGACTTTTTTTACTAAACTTTTGACATTTAAAGATGTAACAGATATCCTCCTTACTTCCCTCACAAGTATGACTAGCAAAGAATCCCTTTGATCTACATACTCCAGCTGCATCCCGTGCTACATTTTTTGTACGAGAAAATTTTTCACGCAAGTAGGTAGTTCACCGAATGTTAAGTTACCCATAGACACATGCCGATGGCTTGATGGATGAGTTGACAGCCTTCAAAAGTGGGCCCCATATTACCCTAGTTACCATACTGACCACGCGAAACGCCAGGGTTTAATACTTCCATTTTACCCGTCTTCTGTGAGGCCGTGGTACCTCCCCGGAAGCGCTTGCCCATTCGTGCAATAGCTGAAACTGTTGTCGGACTGTACCATAGTAATTTCAAGCAAACGGTGAAAGTGGGCAATTTGTTTAACTCGAAAACCGCTTGTTTGTAATCCGGTCTTTCCATACGATAGCTAGTTTTTGGCACGCACCGTTTGAATCTTAAGTGTGTACAACTACAAGTATTTTCTTTACAGAAGTAAAAACAAACAGATCTAGAAAATGTTAAATAAGAATGTAAGAGGCAGTTGTCTAGAGCAACTCACTTTCTTTCGTTTCATGAGTTTTCTTGAACACCTCTCTGCGTTCAGGCACTGTAATAGTCACTGTAAGACGTAGGGATGCGGACACACATAAGCATTAGGGTCGGCATTAATCGGCAAGACCGGACGGTAAAATTGAATATATATGTAGAAGAATGATCGAAAAAACAATTTTTTTTTGCTGGATCAACCACTGCTAGACTTGGGAGGCTTTACAGATCCTCCGGACTTGAAGTTATTAGATTCACTGGTTTGGGGAATCACAAACCGATTGGCTTCCGCAAATAGAATAATTGGCTGGCTTAATAAAGCTGAATGCTTTGAATTGTTTTGTTGTTTAGAAGTCCATGCCTGTAACATTCAGAAGACATAGAAAAGTATAACAGTCGCACATTTGACACATCTAGCCTATTTTACCTCTATCATTATGATCATCATCTGTATGCTCTTTGGACACAGCTTATTGTTTGCTGTATAGCTAGAACATCAACAGTTCTTATAAAACGATTCAAACCATTTGGCAATAAAATAATACAATAAGATCTTAACCGACTTAGATCTCAACTCTCAGTATCCATGGTCAAACATTGGGCATGAAATAAATTTAAAAAAAGTTATGACATTGACATTTGACATATTGATTGTTCGTCTGTCAACTTAATAAATAATTTTCGTCGAATAATTGCTGCTTTTTAAATTAATATGAAAGTTTTCTGTTAGAAAAATGATCAATTTCTTGACAATCTAAATTTCCTTCTTCGTTCTATCTACACACAATTAACAAATCTTTTTCATTTAACTCATTTAGAAATATGGACGGTATGGCTTTTATTAATATTATTCCTTTTTTACTTTAATAATAACTAATGTTATGCTTCTGTTTAATAATTTCAGGTACGACAGCAAAAAAGTCTACTTCGTTCGAAACTTTAGTTATACAAAACATAGCTAATTTTAATGAGTTAAAAGATAAATTGAATGAAATAATCACTGCCGGAAAACATTACGAATTCGATGTGTCAGCCTGTTTAAAAACCCTTTTATGCAGCAGCGACCAGACTATCGTATTATTAAGTGTGCAAGCAATCTCTGAATTAACAAAATGTGAAATAAAGAGGGAGACTTATTCAAAGAAAGAGATTATTGTACCCATATTAAATATATTAGAGAAGGAAATTACAAGAGATAGCATAGAACTAGTTAAGCATAGCTGCAGATCGCTTGGAAACTTGTGCTGTGATTGTGACACTTCTAGAAATATTATTTTAGAAAACAATGGCATTCCAATACTAATAAATTTACTTAAAAACACTCTCAAAGATGACTTGTTAAATGAAATCCAACTACTGACAAGCAAAACCCTGTTAAATTATGCAATTGGAGGCCTCAAGTTTTCGGAATCAATTGTTGAAGCAGGTGTTATAGAGTTACAAAATAAAATACTTGTAACTGAAAAGGAAAAAGAGGAAATAAATGATGAAACCATAATAACTGCTCTGCTTATTTTAAGTGTCATTAATGATAATGCACCAGAGTTCCTATTTGATTCTGATATTAACAAAACGGTACTTGACATTTTAAAAGACACAACTAATATTGAAGTATCAGAGTTGTGTTTGGAACACTTACATATGCAAGCAGAAAATGGTAAGTGTTAAACAATTTCATCTATCATGGAGGTTTTCCTAACACTAGCTTATATTATTTTTTTATTTAATTTACAGGTTGCATAAATGCTAGTCTCTACAATGCTATGTGAAAATTGTCTATAGCTTTGATATTTGCTTATTAACATCAGAAAAATTTTCAGGTTTCATTTTGTCCTCATCATTTTTAATTTTATATTATTTATATTTATTTATTATATTACATTTTATTTCAATGACAATAAATATGAAATTCTTTAACAAATGATATGTGTTTGTACACCAACAGATTTAGTAAAGACATTGCTTGCTACTGAGAATGGAGTACAGTTAGTATGCACTCGGCTTGAGCAGCTGATGCAAAAGCATGAGGCTGGTGATTTAGACGCTGAGGACAGTGAGGTTGAGGCTGTGATGAAGCAAGCCTGTGACCTGATTATCATAGTGCTTACAGGAGGTATATTATGATATTATTTTTACAATTCTATTAAAATTTTGCTTTTGTAGACAGTAGTGAATAATGTCAAGCTATTCTAAATATCTCATCATTCTACCGACCTTATCCCACCTAGGGCTTGGCACTTGTGAATCATGTTGCTAGTGGTATTGACTGATTTTTTTTAATGGGGCCCCTCCCTTACGTCAAACCTCATTGGGAACTAACATCCAGATCCAGAACAATTATTTGTGAGTTACACAAATACGGGAATCGAACTCCCCTTCCCCTTCAACAAAACCTACAGCTTAATAACTGTGCCACTTAGTCATAACTATCTCTTCATATTTAATTAGTAGCAGTGATGCCTATTAGTACATCCACCTATTAGCCTTAATAGGTGCACATACTAATTCATATCTCAAATGGAAAGCTCCTAGAATTTGGAAACAAACAAAATTAGACATTGCAATTTCCAATCTGCTGAGACTGGTAGGTGCAATTACACCATTGATCCTGTTTGTGGACTTAAATGTCTTGATTAAAATTTCTTCACAGTTTTTAGTTAAACATTTAGTGGGATTGGCATAATGATGTTTTGTGCTTGATAGTATTATACATTGTTAAATTAAATTAAAACTCATATCACTGTATAGAACCAAATTAAAAAACACTTTGCTATGTTACAAACATTGGGTGTTAATATTAAAGATACATGGGTACAATAGACGGCCTTATCGCTTAAACAGCGATCTCTTCCAGGCAACCTTACACCAGAGGATTCATTAAAAGAAGATGCAGGGGTGTAATGAATAAATAATAAGAAAAGTACATACATAGAAAAATATAATATTATAAACAAATAAACAGAAAATAATATATAATGGATGACAGATAGTAGATTAAGAGGATAGGTAATGACATTTTAATTTAGTTTTAAAAATGTGAAGAGATTTAGATTGTTTAATATCTTAGGGAAGAGAATTCCAAAGACGTATAGCAGTAACCGTAAAAGAATTAGCATAGAAGGAAGAGAAGCGAGTAGGAGTATTTAACAGAAAATTAATAAGTTAGGAAAAATCCGCAAATTGCTTTTAATCAACAAAACTAGTTGGTTTGTGTGAAATTTTCACCCAGTACCGTGATCAGTCGCATAATAATGTGATTTTTTTTTACATACTCATGTATTTATCAATGAAAGGTGTATAGTATGTTGATCTTTCATTTAAACAATTTTTCAATAGATGGCACTATCATACATGCTTTATAAAAAAGTTTGAAACAAAATTTCTTTTATGAAACTATATTCTTCTTCTCTATGTTTCGTCTTATAATGGTTTTTGAATCATTGAATTGGATAAACAGTAATGGAAGTTATGATGTACCATAAAAAACACCTATTAAAAAAAAAATGTAGAGATTGTTTTATGGCTGCATTTTATAATTTCGCAAAGCACCAGTTCGCAGTTACCAGCACAAGATCATTTAATTATCTGATACACAAACATTTTCTTACAGATGAAGCAATGCACATATTGTATAATAATGGTGTTGGTGAGGTTTATCTTACCATGGTTAAGTGGCTCGAATCCACAAATTACAACCTGCTTACAACAGCTGTGTTGGCAATTGGCAATTTTGCCAGAAAGGATGAATATTGCATTCAAATGATGGAGAATAACATATTTGATAAATTGCTTGGTATGTGCTTTTTTTTAATAGTACATTTGAATAGTATTTTCAATTCAATTCTAGATCTAAGGTATTTATTAAAAAAAAGTCTGTTATTATTTACGACACCGTGATCTTTCCCAAGCCATGGAAAATTCCTAAAAATATATAATACTTTTGCAACTTTTGAGTGTTCTTTCTGCACAAATACGCAACAATAAGCGTTGTATTGCCAAGTGTTTTAAGTGTAGAGATATAATACAACAACAATTATACAACATGTAAATATATTGCAACAATATAAATATAAAACATAGCAAAATTTAAGTTGCAATTATCGTATATTAAAACCATTACAGACATCTTTGAGATTTACCACGGCTTCTGTGTACGTATCCAAAAGGAACAAAACAAGATGCACCCAATTGATATAGTCACTGTGAACAAAATCCAGCATGCCGTGCTGTCGGCGATACGCAACTTGACTGTGCCGTCTGAAAACAAGAGGGTTGCAGCGGCTAAGGGCAGGGCTGCACCGATGCTTTTGAATGCATTGCCTAATATTGAGGACCATCAAGTGGCTTACAAGTTGCTTGCTGCTATAAGGATGCTGGTGGATGGACAAGGTCAGTCTTAAATTATTTATGCCTATGCCGTGATAGCTCATTGTCAGGGCTTTCGCTTTCAATTCAATATACTCGAGTAACCTGAGTTCCATCCCCAGAGCCAGCACTAATGAAATTGTTAATTTTAAGTACTGATTTATCACATGCTCAGCGGTGGAGGAAAACATCGTAAGGAAATCTACACATTTTCGAAATATAGTTACCTTACTTCGTGTTTCGTGGGGTTCTGTGGGGGACGCCTTTTTTTTGTATCGAGGAAAATCTTCAAAAGATACCCTGTCAGCGAGGGGCAGCGAGGGGGCGCTCGACGCGGCGGGGTAGTCTGTGGGTGGGGGGGCTATTCGGTGTCGGAACCCACGATGATGTTATGAAATGCGGGCCCGGCAGAGGGCGTGGCGCGGCTGCTGGTGGGCAGCGAGGGCGCGCTGTCGGCGGCGGGGCGCTGGGCGCGCGCGGGCCACGCGGGCGCCGAGGGCGAAGCGCCCAGGCTGCTCGCGCGCGCCCTCCGCCAGCTGCGCGCCGTCGCCGCCCCCAGGATGCTCCAGGTGCCGGACGAATCTTGTCGACTAACCCCGACTATCAGTGTTGTAGACCAACGGTGACCAATTGGGAAATTCTCACAGCGCGGTGGGCGTTATTTTCTTTTCTTTTTAGACATCTTCAAGAACTCTGTAAATGTCCCCTTTTTTTCACATTTTAAATTCCACCTTGAGTGCAGAGACTGGCGTTAAAAATAACCCACTCCTTAAAAAAATATATACAAAACAAGATTTATTTTTCTAATTTTATCTACCATAAGATCTTTCGGAGTAACGGTAAAGATGTGATCAAAAGTAAAGCAACAGTGTATCATTTTACGATAGTAGGGCCATCCAACAGTTTCTGCAGATGCACGAATATGCAGTCCCGTCCGGGGAAGTAACACGGCCTCACAGTAGATCAGCGTGAAGTAGAAGTAATGGACCACTTTTTTAAAAATTATCAAAACATCTGCAAACCCTCAGGCGTTGAGATTTCCTTGGGCGGCGGTCTTCACTTAACATCAAGTAAACAGACTGCTCCTTTCACAATTTTACTCGTAAAACAAAACATAATTTCCTGTACATTCCTGATCATGCCTTTCAACTTCCAGGTCGACGGCTGCGTGTCGAGCTTGGTGGGTATGCTGGTCGCGTCCCACTCTATCATGCAGAACGAGGCGATACTCGCTCTCACTCTGCTCGCAATAGAGACACTCCACCGCAAGGAGCAGACCGACTTCGACCGCGAGCAGAGCTTCGTCACGCAGCTGATAAGTTCGGAAATCGGTAAGCACCTGTCCGTTTTAATCGAGACCAACTGCGCGAAGATGCCGGTAGAGGTCGCGGAGAACTTGATGGCCTTCCTTGACCTGACCTGCAAGAGCAACCGGCTAGCCTCCGACTATAAGGAGGCCAAGGTCCAGGAAGCGCTGCACAAGTTCCTCGACTCCAGAAAGGACTTCAGCGAGGACCTAAAGTCCTGCATCGGTGTCGTCTTGACGGCAATATCCGATTGCGGCAAGGCCTGAGTTAGTTTCAAGTTTAAATATTATAAGTTAAACGCATCCTTGGGTAATTTATTACACCCCGACAAATGTTACGAGTACCCTCTTGTGTTGACTAAAGCAAAATTCGGAAATCATTCTTTTTATGGAAACATGAGTATGTTTGTAATTAAGGTCAAATTTTCTTGTCTTCGTCTACGTTTTTTAATTGTAGGATTAATTTATTCATATTAACGAATTAACTATTACTTATTGAAGTATATATATATATAAGCTCTTTTATAAATTTTGGCCATTTCGTCTTTTACCATAGATGAGAGTTTATTAAAAAAAAGATAGTGCATGCTAGTGTAAGACTGATGATTTTTATGGCTACTTCAATTCTGGCTTATTTGCTACTCTCAGCATAGAATGTACGAAATATGCGACTTGAAATCGTAAGTATTTCCTAAATCAATTAATATACTTACACTATAAACCAATAATTTTATTTGTAAGTGAAAGTATAAAGATATGATTTAGTTATTTTATCTAGTCAATTTTGTAGCAGAATGGTTTAATATCTCCTTGTTAAATGGATGATTTCTAGTTCAAACACAGGGATTGTTTAATGGATTTCCATTTGTCTTAACTCTTGTCTACAATTGGATACTTTATGCCTATTAATTAATATGTTCCTATGACTCGATTCAAGTACGGACCATCGCTTAAACACTACTCTTCATAAAGCATTAATGAAGATTATTTTTTTACGTGATGGTAATGATTTTAGCGCACTTTATTTATTATCTATGCAATAATAATAGGAATTGATATTCTGAAAATTTAAGATGTCATAATTATTTGAGTGTATGATATTTTGTCTGTTTATGTAAAATATACTATTATGGTGTTTTCTATAATTCATTTAATAATAAATAAATTATTTAAAACACCATAATGATAATATAAAAAAATTTGTAGAGTAGTAGATTTTTAACTTCATCCACTTCAGTTTTTTTTTTAATTCTAATATTAATATTAGTCTAAGTGAGTCAACATATGTAATTGTTGGACTTTGTTTCTTTCAAAAAATGTATTAAAGTCTCTACGCTATGATTTTCCTATTATAGAAATACTTAAGGTCACAAAAGTAGTATTTTACGTAAATTGATTTTACAATAATTTGTACTCATTTTGATTAGGCTCATGGAGCACAAATAAATGATTTTACAATGCCACATGCAATGCAATTTGTCACCTTTACTTGGTTAGTTAAGATCAAGCATAGATCCGATAAGTTATTTTCATACTTAATTTTAAAACGATAATTGGATGGATAATAAAAAATTACAGTGTCTGAGTGTCAGAGAGGTAGGTATTCAATGGAAATATAAGTCAAAATTTAATTATTCTCCGAATGTGTTGCATATAAATTTATTGAAAATATTTGTCATAATACCTTATAACATTAATATGTAAAAAAGTATGTTTGTACTTATGTACGCACGTTAGAAGTTATAATTCTTTAGCGTAACAAAAAAATAATTAAAAATTTAATCCCTGTGTTTACTCTTTGTTTGTGAAAAAAGACATTAAATGCAAAATAGATGACGGTTTAATGAAATAACTTGGAATTATAGGTCAATGTAAAAAAGTTATTACTGGTTGCCGTGGTAATACTGGTCAAAATTTATTACTGGTCGCTTTGCAACCAACGTCAACTTTTGGCTGTCAGTGTGCGCGCGCATCACAAAATCACGTATCATCGTAAAGATTTCACTCTCACAATTATTTCCAAACGCGCCAAAAGAATTCAGGTTTGAAATTGAATTAGTTTAAAATGTACGACATGGAACACCGATGAATGTGACGAATATTGATATTATGCTGCTAAGTTAAATACTACTGTTTACTATGTGTAGCCTGAACACAAGAATATAAATCCTAGCTATCTTGTGGAAAAACTTTATTTAAACAAACTATTGGTGTTGCCATGAAGAAGGCACATGTGCCCCTGGGATCGGGTTTATAATTTTTAACCTTTGGCAAACGGGTATTTAATTAACATTTTGTTGTTGTTCGAGGTTTTTTTTTTTTTTCTGAATAAGCCACCCCAGCAATGGGAACAGAAAGGGAACCCACACTATGGTGCTATAGAAGCATACGGTAGAATTTCGTTCCTTCAATAATAACTTTTACCAATTAAAACATGTAGAAAAAGTACGAAAAGATTGTCGCCGCTGTGGGAATCGAACCCACGTCTTCGGCATTCGCGGCCTGACGCTCTAGCCACTGAGCTAAACGGCTGATAGCCACAGCGACGAAAATCTTAACGCCTTCCTTCTACATTGTTATTTAGTATTTGAAGCAATGCTTGGCGCATCTATTGTTATATCCTTTCCAGCATACAAATTACCAATTTCCTTTTCACTAAAATAAATTGCAAGTTTTGTGATTTTAAATAAATAAATAAAATTAAATTTTACCTCAAATTTGTAGAAAATAAAATTTTACCCCTTTGATTCATTAAAAGCTTAAACTATTAAGACTTAGGGGTTAAACCGTTATATTTTTAAACTTAGAATTACATTAACCTCTCTCGGTGTGGTTTGAATCAGATGATCTATCAACTTTATTGCCAAAATATTCAAAATATTTACATGTTAAAAAAATTCTGTGTCCGGTGCACTTTCACTCTGTTTTCGAACACTGCTAAGTTATTTCTATTTCGACAGTTCCTAAAGTAAATAGGCTCTACGGCATCACATCACAATTTAACAGCAAGGTGGTTATGCCAATACGTAATTAAAAATTATTACACTTTGGATATATCTTTTAATCTTAATATAAGGTCTTTTGCTATAATCTCGCCTGGAACATTCCAGTTCTTAACTATATCGCCTTCTCCATTATTAGATAAGGTATTTTTTTTAAATATTTTATTAATAAGTTGGTGATGGATGTTTTTGAGAAATAGACGTTTTATAAAGCATGGAATGAAATTGATATTTACTCATTCATAGTTTTGCTAAATTGTTCAATTCGAGAATATTGCATAATATGTATGTAAGTTTTTAGAACAGTTATTAGAATGTATAATCAATTAATGTCTTGTTTCATATAACTTCTTAAAAAATGTTGAAATAACTAGCTCTTGGTTTACAAAACTATTTTCAATTTAACGATTAAAACCTAAGATCATTTAAAAATTATTAAAAGCACCAAATAGGATCACTTGATTTTTTGCTACTTGTCTTTTTCTCACATGCATAGATCGGATAAAGCATCTATTTATATTTCAATCTAGTACATAAAGATATAACATAAGACTTAACTGACAGCAATACTAAACATACTTCTATAGTACAATTACATTTAATATGTAGCAATTTATTGACGTAATAGCTTAGCTATAAATATAGCTTCATAAAACTAGCGACGAGAAAATATTTAATACTATACAAACTCTTTCCTCTTTGATATATAAAGGTATGAATATTATAGACAGTGAGTACACTCTTACCCAATTAACAACATAAGAGATCAATTTCAAATGATGTTAAGTTTGTGAGTCAAACAATACACTCATTTATTTATTTGCAACGAAGAAAATACCTTTAAATGTCAGTATAAAACAATACACATATTTAATTAAGTAAATATAGGTCTCCAATAGTGCACTTATAAATAAAATTGTCGGATTTGAGGGCGAAATTAATATAATTATAGTGATTGAATTAATTGTGAATGCTATTATATGCTAAAGTGCTTGGTGCATTTTTGCTATTTTTTCAAACAAAATCAAGCACCTATTTATGGCGTTTTCCATTGTATTTATATTCAGCTAAGTTGAAGTGAAATTTGCATGGAATAATGTCTATTACATTAACATACCATAACTGAATTAATCAAGACTTAATAATATAATTTTTTTTAAACATTCTTTAATCCCACTTAAATAAATGTGGTGTCACTTTATATTCCATGGTATATATTATTCCATATCTTGGCTTAATTTAATTAAATGTACTAGAGTTTTTCAATTAAAATAAGTTGATCAAAGGAAGAATGTATGTGGGTATGGACTGTACATGCATACACACTAAGTAAAGACAGAATGAGGAATATCTTTCGTTTTTTCTCAAATGTAATGTTAGATGTAAATTAGTTGCAATTCTGATCCTTTTCTCATTTGAAATGCAAATTAAAATTTATATTGTAATCAAAGTAAAACCCGCTAATGTAAGTCGATGCTTTTGTCGTCTTTTGTCGTCTAATGTAAGGTTTTTAAAATGTTTATAATATTATGAACATTACGAAGATATATTAAAGTGAAAAGTATTCTTTAAAATTTTGTTTATGATATCGAGAAATTGCGTAATTTATCTTAATATTTTGATAGCTAATAAGTGAAATGTAATATTAGAATTTTGAGCTTTCAATAGTTTAAAATAGAATTTATAAAAGTTATATTCTTGTTAATGCACTTTGATTGTAGTTTTATGGACCAAAATTTATATGAAACCTGTATAAGCTTATAATATTGTAATGTTACATCAAGATTTTTACTCTTTTTAAAATACATAAACCCAATTGCATAAAGTCAATTAGGTGTTTTAAATGGTCGAATATGAATAAGAAGATAAAATTATCGCTTTTTAAGTATTTATTAATTTCTTAAGCAAATTTAAGTAATTAATTATTTTACATGGAATGAATTATTGAAAATATTAAGGTTTTTACTTGTATGTATGTAATAATTTTTTAAAGATCATTTAATTTTAAGTTTCCTATTGCTTTTCTCTAATATTCCCGTTAATCGTTATTTACCAATTGATAAATTTAAATCAGCATTAAATCTTTACCTTAAAAATGTTACCTTATAAACATAAATGTAATTTCTTATTCAAATTGATAATCAGTTTCATTTCATTTTTACTTAATCAAGAACTTATATATCATCTTTACTAAACTTTCATTATTTTTAATGTACGTAATTATTTATAATACATATAGTTTTTAGTTAAGGTTAAGATGTACAAATCTTGATGTGAATATTTTCAAGCCATGCATTGTTATAGATATAGATTCCTGCTAAATAAATATATTGCTGATCTACCGCCATATTATTTTATTATTTCGCTTTATTGATGCCCCGTCATAAATGTATTAATATTCATCTATATATAATCAATCAGTGTCCCTCAAAATGAGCTTAACAGGTAACTTACATAACATTTTATTTTTCCAAACTATAACTAATAGGAGAGCTATGTCACACCATAGTCATATTAACGTTCAATACTTTACTGGTTAAATACTCTTTGTATTTACGTAATTATTATTTAATTCAGTAAAATTATTAAAAAGCGAAAAATTTAAATTAGAATTTTCTAATTGAATAAAGTTTTACTCAAATTAAAGGTATTAATGTTTTTACAATACACTTTCATCCAAATCCAAAATTGATGGCTCTTGTATCATAGTGGAGTGTTGTGTTAGAGTCAGGCGGAATTTTAGCTCATCGTCTGATATCAAATGCATAGGCACCAGATTTTCACGATTACCACAGCCGGCAACTGAAAATAAATAACACTAAAGCAAAAAAGTATTGAATAAAGTAATTTTAATTAAACACGGGATATTGCACCAAAGTAATGGCCTAATGCTATTACACAGCATCTGCAATCTTGCGGTTGCAGTTCAAATACCATTAGGATGCATCAAATATTTTTTGGGACATCTCACATGCTAATATATCTGTCTAATGTCTGTGTTCAATGCATGGCCACGAAGCAGGCTACTTGACACTTTGGGTAAGAAGCTTGGTGTGGCATTAGCAATCTGTCGACCCAATCAGAGCCGAAAAGATGAAAAAGCTTGTTTATATAACATACTACCTTCTGCACGCGACTACGTCTGATTAGAATAGACAGATATATATAAAAATATGTATATAAATTATAGCCTTTATGTTATTCTGATGTATAAGCTATATTATTGTAAAGTTTCATTAAAATCCATTCAGTAGTATTAGCGTAAAAGAGTAACAAACATCCATCCATACAAACAAACATTCGCGTTTATAATATTAGTAAGGATGCTCTTATACAACATATATCCAATTTGTTATCAAAATTTTAGAAAAAATTTAAATAAACCATTACCGGGACATTTCATTTTTTTCCCCATTGCAATAAACTCCACAACTGCCTCCTTTTCATAAATGTGACCGCATAATTTGTTTCGTACTGGATCCACAATCGGCCTTTTGGTTATTGGATCAATCTGAAATGCAAAGTTGTCAACTAAGATACTCTAGTCTAATAAGTCTTATATGAATTTGGTTGGTCAATACTTTGGAGAGGCCATGAAATGACTTAATTTATTTACACTCCCAGATAATATTAACACAAAGTAAAGATATTGGTAATTTTTATGCAATTATGTCAACCTATAACAGTCCACTGCTGCTGAGCTATTACCAAAATTTGATAAAACTCACATATTGATTCTGAGACTCTGTTATAGCCAAGTCTGATCCGTCTAAGTTTTCTGAAAAACAAAACATAAGTGAATTAGTGACCAATTTTCTTGTCTGTCATAGCAATTTACATTTTATTTTAATTACTATGATATTATTTTTTACATGAATTGTTTACTTACGTCTTGATTTTTGTCGTCCTTTCTCAATTCTTTTCTTGAATTCTGTCATATATGGGTGAGAGTTGACATTTACATTTTTACTTGCAAGATTGTTTAAGTAGAAGTTAAACCTGTCTTGTAATGTGTCCAAATTTGAAGAGTCTGTTTCATCCTATTAAATACAGAATTTTATTCAATCATAATTTGTTTTATTTACAAAATATTTTGGTAATAGAGAACTGCAGTAGTAGTATGTTTATCGCTAATATTGTAGTTATAAATTATTTTACTTATATTTATGAGTGAAAAACATGAAATATTTATATAACAATATTTCTTTGGTGATGAAATCTTTTATGGGACAATGTATACATTTCCACTACACAATCCCAGAACACATTTAAAGTACCTATATAGAATTTGGCTAGTTTTTAAATTAAAAAAAAATTGTAAAAGAATGTTTGTGTTAAAGGTTATTAAAAAGTGAGTGATTTATATAAAATTAAATTGAAACACACCGGAATTGAATTGATCCCTCCAGGTTATTTCAAGCAGATTATATTATATTGTAGTAATTTTCCATTGTCAAATAATGAAATTTTCATTGAATTACATTAGTTTGAGCTTGATATGGACAAAAATGTGGTAATATTAAAAACTTGGTCACTGTAAATTTTTAAAGAACATTTCACATTTTTTTTTATATTAAGGTTCATTTAAAGAATAATGTATCTAAATTTCTCAGATACATAAATGTTTATTAGTATCAAGTTTTTTATACTTTCGTTTGCTAGCGTCAATTATCCAATTAAATTAAAATGAGAAAGTTTGGCTTCAAATGTTATTTTATTCTAGAAAAATATGAGGATTGTTTTTACACAAATTTTTTACTGAATAATATCACATTTTCAGTTTCATTTTTTTCAAAACAAAATAAAATGGTAAAATAAATTAAAATGGGTAAATCAATGGTAAAGGTAAATAACTTTAACTCCGGCGTAATTCAAATCAAATAAATTTTAAACGATAGAGATAAATCTCTAATGAATTAATCAACAAGCAGAATTCGGCGGTCGCTTATAGTTTTCAAGAAACAAAATTTTTAAAACTTGTTTTTTGTACTAAGAAATCCACCATTTTATTCGTTTGACTTCAAAAGTTCTTTACACAGTTCTGCCAACATGATAAATATAGGAAGCGGGCGACATCATACACGTATCGATATTCCGATTTTTTAAATTTAATGAGTCACAGAACCGACACAGAGCGAATCCGACTCGGATAGATTAGGTTAGAAGGTTCAGGCGGGAGCGGAGCTCCCGCCTTAACCTTCGATGTTAGGTTTTTTTTTTATGACCACCAAGAAATACGAGCTGAATTGACATATTGACAACAAAAAATGGCGGATTTCTATAGTAAAAATCACACACTATTTCATTATTTATTTTTTCGAAAACTATAAGCGACCGCCAAATTCTGCTTGTTGATAAATTCATAAGTGAGTTTTCTCTATCGTTTAAAATTTATTTGATTTGAATTACGCCGGAGTTAAGGTGATTTACATTTACCAAATCAATTACCAACGTTTTACCTTTGCTTTCTCTAATGCTTCGTTAGCTACATTGTTTCTAGCTTCTAGCTTACAGTACTCTTCAACAGAAGACTTCAACTTAGAAAACTCAGTCTCCCTCTCTTGTTCATTCATAAACATAGCAACATTGTCCACACAAGTGTATAAACTTGTTACACATTGCTTCCTTAAATCTGTTAATTCATCGACCATTCTTGAACACTAAACTGATATGCGATGTATAGACGTATAATACCAAAACATATAAAATAATTCGGTTCCTATAAAACTGCAGTTCTTCTTCTTTTTAGATCAGTTGTGCATATGATATCGCCAATAACACAATAATATGGTTTTAAAAATCTAATAACAAAATTGCAGTAATTCTTCTTCTTCTTCTTTGATTAATGGCCTCTCTTAAATGAAAATTGCAGTAATTCGAGTTTCAAATCTTCTACTGACTGACACTGAATGACAGTGACAGTGACACTGACTTGACAGCAGGGTGACCATCTCAAAAATAGGGAATCTGTCTGCCCGACACTAGCAAAAAATCTAGCAAACTCAACTTCATAAATTTTTTAGGATAGGGATTTACATGTTTTATTTTGACAACTATATTACCTTGTTCAGCAGCCCCGAACCCAATTACATCTATAAAATTAAGGTTAGCTTTACTAAAACCCTCAGAAAGATCGGATGGTCTTTTCAAGTCCACCAAAGTTAAAAATTTTGTTTTTACTTGAAAATCTCCTTCGGAATAATATTTGGTAACAATTGGAAGGGTTGATGTTATGATTTTGGTAAAAATTCAAGCTTGAAAAAAATTTTAATCGATAGAGAAACGTTTAACATTAAATATTACATACATGAAAACCAAGGCAAACACTTACTTTTAATAAAAAAAATTATTAAAACATATTCAAAACTTGTTATTTTCACTAAATAAATCCGCCATTTTGTGTTTGACAACATGTATAAATTTACGAATTCATACACTTTTCCATATTATAACCTTCGCATTATTAAAAAAGTCTTTAAAAATACTAAAAGTACTGTTACACTAAAGTTTTCTGGGTGGTCATAAAAAAAACCTAACAACGAAGGCTTAACCTTCTAACCTAACCTATGGTCGGATCGCTCTGTGTCGGATCTGTGACTCATTTTGAACCTAATATTCGAGACATAAGTGTACACTAAGTCACAAATTTTAAATATTAGAAATTGTTAATAATACATGTTCATGAAGTAGAAACTTGTGTTTTTGTGATATATCTGTGTATTTGTGTCACCTTAAAACGTAAAAAGTGAAAACGTAAGTTTTTAACTTAAAATAATAGTCTATAATGAATAATGGACGCACAGTAATGTGTAAAAGTACTTACAAATATGCACTTGAATATTGTATACAATTAAATTAAGCTAATTCCTAAAATAAATATTATATCCTTTTATTAATCATTTCATATTGATAAACATGAAATTATGTTAAGACTTAAAGAAATAAATCCAACATCTGGCAACCCTAGCAGACAGTAGAGTTAGAGGACCCTTTTGTTTTGAAAGAAAAAATGGAGGTTAATAATTTATTGTTGTAAGATTAGATATTGTGGATTTGTGGAATTGATGTAACCATTGTATTGTATAATAATAAGTGGAATTAAATAAATATGTTAAATGTATATCCAGAAGACTTTAATTAAATTATAACAAATGACGGATTTCAGTTGTATGAAATTTAAAAACTTTGTTAATTTTTTCCTCATAATCTAGTGGTTTTCATTGATTATAACTTATATAACATTTAATTATTAACGTTTCTCTATAGATTAAATTTTTTTTCTAGGTTGAAAAACGAGACGTACTATTCGGAATATTAGCTATGATTTTTACCGTTCATACTTATTATATCATATGATGTACCTACATTAAAATAAAATAATCGGGAAATCCCTATATAAAGCATGGGACGAAAGTTGCCACAAAAAAATAATTTATGACCAAAAAAATAATCAAAGTAAATAATAAGACAGAATATTAGAAGTATTCTAAATACAAATATTAATTTATATGTACTGTAATTTAAATGTATTTCAAAAGATTTCAAAGACGTCAGCCTAATCTGCCACAGCTAAAATTTAAGTGGAAAATCTGCCCAAATAGCAGAATACTACCACAAATGGTCAGACTGCTTGACAGTTCGTCAACTTCAATCTCAGATGAGACACGAACGATTATTGATTATTTTAATAAGGAATACCTACTAGACGTAATTATGTACACAGCCAAGTATTTTACTAATGATGGGAATATTGCGTTAAGAAATTAAGCAACAGTTTCAACAAGTACACAAAAAACGTGTAACAGGTATACAACAGAAATAAACTTTAACATCTTTTTAAAAATAATTTATTTTTAAATATCTTACATACTTTCACCTATAGTGGATTAAACACAATAAATTATTATTTTGTATAAAATATTTCCATTCATGTATTACGAATGGCATTATAAAATTTACTGATATATACAAATTAAATAATGTAAGTTGTCACAAACTTAAATAATTTTGTATACTATGGAGAGCAATACAGTTTGTTAAAAATACGATGATACGCGGGACATCGACATTAATAAACTAAAGTGACATTACGAACGAAAGTACCACATTGTGTTACGTACATTTTTTGTTTAAAAAATATCGAGGAGCTTCATATACGAGATCCGTATTTGTATATAACAGAATTTAGTAATTTGAATTTATAAAATTGTATTATGCACGTTAAAATATTCTAGTATAATTTCCCTAGTTACACAAGTGTAAGAGAGTGAATTGTTACTCATCAATGTATTTTACAGATCTTATTAATTAACGAATGAAGTGAAGTGTATAAGGAAAGTGGCACATATGGGTGGTGATAAAAGACTGGGTTACATCGTTTATTAAGTTACCCACTGTGGTTGGTATTGTTATTATCGGGGTGACGAATGAAGTGAAGTGTACGAAGAAAGTGGAATAGGTGGTTGGTGCTTTAAGACTGAGCTACATCGTTTATTAAGTTTCCCACTGTGGGTGGTATTGTTATTATCGGGGTGACGAATGAAGTGAAGTGTACGAAGAAAGTGGAATAGGTGGTTGGTGCTTTAAGACTGAGCTACATCGTTTATTAAGTTTCCCACTGTGGGTGGTATTGTTATTATCGGGGTGACGAATGAAGTGAAGTGTACGAAGAAAGTGGAATAGGTGGGTGGTGCTTTAAGACTGAGCTACATCGTTTATTAAGTTTCCCACTGTGGGTGGTATTGTTATTATCGGGGTGACGAATGAAGTGAAGTGCACGAAGAAAGTGGAATAGGTGGGTGGTGCTTTAAGACTGAGCTACATCGTTTATTAAGTTACCCACTGTGGGTGGTATTGTTATTATGGGGGCTTTTAGACGGTAACACCGACGTGGCCCAGGGCGGCGGCGAGGCGTTGCAGGTGCGCGCGCATGTCCGCGGCGGGCAACCCTCGCCTGGCGCCTATCACCTTGAACGCGTTCAGGTACTCCAGCTCGGAGAACTGCGGCCCCTTCTCGCGGACGGACGTTATTATTTCCTGCGGTTCACGAGCGCTTTTATAGTGTAGAATAAGAAGAACTTCACGGTCTGATCGCTAAAGATACATACAAGACTTAGAAAATAATAACTGGACAGTATATAGAATATTTTTGGAAAGATTTAAAATAAATGTAAACATAACAAAAAATAAATAATTGAAGGTCTGTATAGCGCCATAAGAGCGTGAAACGGACGGGGCTCAGTGACAGTCGAAATACAGAAAATAAAATTCGTTCTGATCCCCATACTGGTTTTCACTCAGTCCATTCCGCACTTCGAGGCAACCCGTAATTAATAAAAAATAAAAATTATTGCACAACTTGACTTTCGATTCTCGATATTTTGTTGACTTATATGGACCAAGCGTTTGCGAGCAAAATTGCTAGTTGGCGACTCGTTAGTAAGCTGAAGTGGCCGGCCGGCCATACACCACGTAGAATCGGTAACCTTGGAGAAGGAAAGTGTTCATCACTAGACGGGAGTGATGCGGGAAGTAATTTGATGCAGGTGGCTCTGGATCGTGCACCGTGGCGGTGTGCGGTCTAACAGGTCTGAAAGAGCACGAGGGTCACATAGCCGTTGGAGACGAAAAGTTTTCAAGCTGCGCCCTCATACGGAAGCTGCGGTAAGTAGTTTGAGGTCTGTGGCCATGCCGGAAAGAGCACGGGGCTCACCTCGGGCGTGCAGGCGAGCAGGTGCAGGTAGGCGTGGGCGGCGTGCAGCCCGTGGTGCGGCAGATGCAGCGCGGCGAGGCAGTGGCGCAGCGCGGCCAGCCGCGCGCCCGCGCCCGCCGCCGCCGCCGCGCCGCCGCGCTCCGTCTGCCAGCGCCACACCACCGCCGCCGACATCATCTCGCCCAGCCCGTTCATTATGTACTGCGCGGATGGGGGTACAGTCGGAGGGACACGCGTGTCGAGTGAGAGAATCGCCTGCACTAGCCCGTGCATTATGTTCTGCGCGGATGGGGGTACAGTCGGCGGGACACGCGTGTCGAGTGAGAGAATCGCCTGCACTAGCCCGTGCATTATGTTCTGCGCGGATGGGGGTTCGTTCGGAGCACGCCACGTGCGTCAAGTGAGAGAATCGCTTGCACTAGCCCGTCCAATAAGTACTGCGCGGATGAGGGTACAGTCGACGGGAAGTTCGGCGCACACCACGCGTGTGTTTGAGAGAATCGAAATCGAGCCAGTTCATTGTGCACTGCGTCAGGTGAGAATTGCTTACACCAGCCCTTTCATTATGTAATGCACGGATTGCGGGTACAGGCGGCGGAACGTTTGGAGCGCGTCATGTGTGTCAAGTGAGGGAATCGCTTGCACCAGCCCACGCTTTGTGTAAGGCGATACAGTCCGCGTAAAGTTTAACGTACACGCGGTGCGGTACAGTAGTGTCGTAGGTTCGAATTCCTCACGAGAGAACTATTTGTGTGACCCACAGATAATTATTGTCGATAACTGTATTTGTACAAGTGAAATTTATGTATGTAAAACGTTCTTACAACACAAGGCAATGTTGTCCTATATAGGGTGCTATGTCTCCGAAGAGATATCTTCTACGTCGTAGCAGTCGCTGGGAGCTATTACTCAAGCCCTTCCACACAGAATATAAATAATAAATATTTAGGACACATTTTTGCACAACATTCTCTAGTCCCAAACTAAGCAACGCTAGTACTATGACTACTATTTTTGTAAACAAATACATATTATACATATATAAACACCCAGACACTGCAATAACACTATTTTCATCACACAATATTTTTTCAATAGCGGGGATCGAACCCAGACCCTCTGAATCAAGAGGCGGGTCCACGCGCGGGAAAAAGAATACAATTCAGACAACAGAGAGGGAACAAGAGATCGAAGTGAATAGGAAACTTACCGCTCGGCGTGGTGGCGCTAGTGTGGCGGCCGCCCTCTCGTGGAAGGCGAGCAGCGCCTGGGCCAGCTGCGCCGCTCCCCCCGCCCCCTCCGCCTCCCCCTCGACGCCCCCCTCCCGCTCCTCCTGCCCCAGGTAGTGGAAGCACTCGATCCGCATCTGCGTCAAAAACCCCCACGCTCAATCCATCAGCCTCCTACACCGATACTACAACGCGAAAATTTGGTTGTTCGTTTGTTCCGAAGGCCCTACTCGGCGATATTTTTAGATAGATAGATAGATAGATAGATAGATAGATAGTCTTTATTTGTAAAACATGGTATACATACATTGCATGCAAGATATTAAATATACATTGTCCTATCATGTCCAGGCCGTATCACGGCATACAAATTGGTTACAAGAGATGGTGCGTTGACCGCAATATTGTTTATTATAAACTTTATACTATTGCCAAATATAATCACATGTCATTATTCAGTCATAATAAAATTAATTACGAAATTGATTAATAAAATTGTTATAATATATAATGTCAAAATTAAAATAATAGATGATAATTCAAACAATTTACATTTTTAGTACATAATATAATGCAAATTAAATTATATTAAAATTAGAAGTAATTTTGAATACTACGAAAAATTTTCTTCCTTCAAAAATTCTAAGATATTGTAGTATGCTCGATTAATTAAAAAAAATCTTTAATTGTCTTTTAAGATCGAGAGTACTTAATTCTTTCCACGATTTGGGCAATTTGTTAAATATTATCGGTGCCATGCAAAAGATGCTCTTACGCATAAGAGCAGTTCTAGAGCCATGAAGGCAGAGCCAGAAGTGATCACGTCTATTCCTAGGTGCTACATCAGATAAACTTGAAAATAAATTGGAATTAGACCTAATAAACATAACTAATGTTACATAACTGTTACAAGGTGATGTAAATATTCCTACGCTTATTTTAACAGAGTTACATTGGTGGATGAACTTGGAAAAATCGTTTTTCAAACAAATCAAATTGATTAGATTAGACGCGAATTGCAACTATCCTATAATAACATATTAGAAACGGCAACGCCCCATAAATATTTAACTCAACAATAAATGTCGGCGCGATTAACGTGTAGAGTTTCATTGTGTTTCATTGTCAAATGAAGTATAAAATCTTACCTCAGATTTACACACCTGTGTGTTACTTATTAATCTGTGTATGCTTATTATAAAAATGAATTGCGAATTAGGACAATACAAAGTCAAGTCTTTAATTTTTACACGTGTTCAGTTTAAACTTGGACTATAAAAAGCATTGCAATTGTAATTGACTTCTTAAAAGTGAATATGCCTATTGGTTTCATCAATGCTCCTTTAAACTTTCTGCCTTTCTCTCAATTCCATACAGAGAAACTTACTTCCAAGTGCAAAAAGAGTAAGCACTTGTGCGATATGTCCTCGAAAACAGCGGCGGCAGAGGAGACCTCACTGGAAAACTTTTCCGTGAGTTTCAAAGAAGTACCAGCAGACGTCGGCGCAGAGACGAAACTCGGCAGTGTTTTGACGTTGGCACTAAGCCAATCCTACAAAGAGACATTATTTAGTTACATATTATCTAAAATGGATAGACATGGATAATTTGTCAGCTTTGGCGATCTTTATAAATTGTGTTTCTTATAGTCTTCCTTATGTTATTTCCCAAAAATCAGTGTTGTTGTATAATGTGTATAGTGTATAATGTTATTGTTGTTGACGCCTCTAACTCCCTCTATGAACAATTTGAGATATAATCTGAAATTGAGAATCATATCTAACACATTCTAAGCGATGCATTCATAATTTTCTTTCCAAATCTCTTTTAAATAATTTATAAACATTTAGCAACTTACCATGCTTTCACATAAGAGTGCCAAATCTGCGAGTACGTTGATGTCACTGACGATTTCGCGTCGCGCCACCTCTCCATCGCCGAGACTTGAACCCAGGATCTCTGCCTCGCGTTCATACGACTGCTTCAACTCCTGTCAATGTAAATATTTGGTATCTACATGATAGTAAAATTATGCTGCGCAGGATCCATCATGTGATAGTGATTACAATAGGCGAAAACTTATAAGTTCATCTGTCTTGCAATCGCAAGTGACGTCGACTTATAGCGATTACAAATTCCCGGCACTACGCGAATACTTTACAGAGTTAGTTGGACGGTTTATCGAAAGGGCCGAAAACTATTCCGACCTTCCGGTGGGAAACGTAACGAATTACCAACTCGAAGATCCACCGCAGCAGGGTTCCCACTAGACAACACTATACTTACGTATAGTGCTAACATACATAACCAATAATGATGAGCACAAGCACGGCCCTACCCAACGTGGAGGGCCTTACCAAGTTTTTGAGATTTCGCTAGTTCAAGAATTTTGCGTTTGATTAGGCTTTAATAGTCTATACTCTATAGACTTCAAAAACATCAAAGTAAAGTAAAAGATGAAAACGATGGGTCGAATTACTGCTAATTTGTAATTTGTGCATATCCTGTAATGTATTTTGATAAAACTCCTTTAGCCTCATTTCTCAAGAAAGAAAATAATATTAAACGACGAACATGAGAGTAATTACCCGAATAAATATTACGACGTATTTAGCCTTTTGGTGTTCGTAATGCACTGGCGAGGTTTCACATCTCTATGTCATCGTATTTTGTTTTACACACGCTTTCGGATCTAAGGGTGTTCTGCAAGTAGAGATGGGTCGTATCGCTTTTTCTGAGTACCGTATCTGAATCAGATATCGATTTCAAATATCAGATTTCGAAACTACGTATTTTAATATCTAGATATTTTACGGTCCCGTATCCACCTTGAATTCTAAAAAAAAAAAAAGAGTATTTAAAAGTTGATTCATTCTATGTACATAATTTTCCTGATATTTAAAACTTAACTTATTTACAATGATGTGTGGGTTAATAATTATTTAGATTCCTCCGGGTTTAAATTCACGTTTACGAACGTAAGCTGTTTGACTTTAATCGTCGAAAGTCTTGTTCGACGATCATTGTACACATAACTATAGCTATTACCAGTGATACCAACTGTTCAAAAAGAATACTTCTAAATAAATTCGAAAACCCACTAAAATTGACTAAATTCAAAAAACTTACTGAATTTAAAATCACGATTTTTTTATACTATTAAGGTAAAATTAAAACATTACCTGATAAAATTAAAAATTTCATTAAAAATAGAAATTGAAGTAATATAAAAATGATTTATTTTAACATCTTATATATCGCTTAATAATTGACTTTAACATAATTTTATAATTTGTGTAAGAAATAATACATTCAGTATTATAACTTAGGGCGGAAGAATTTAAAATATACAAAATATAAAATATACAAAGCACATAAGCCTTGGTCTGATTTCCACCCAAGCAGCACAACACTATTAAATTATATTTTTCTTTTTGTGTACTTTTATTTTTTTCCAAAAATATGAATAAAATTTAACTAATAAAAATATTCACAAAAAATTTACCTCCTAAAAAATTTCCATTTATATTTTTTCTTCCTTAATTTAGGCAGAAAATTCTTAAGTAGTAAGTTGGCATCCCTTACTATTACGTGCTTAGTACCAATGCAATCCAGCTCAAGACTAAACAAAATTTAAAGACATCGTTGATACCGTAATTCGTATTTAAATGCAACAGAGATTTTTTTCCATGCTGTTAAGATTCAAAATTACTTAACTGCGCGCTTTGTCGCCCGTTACGGCTCAAGGCTAAACAAAACAATAGAAATATAATAATATCGTTGTAGTAATCTTTGATACCATGATTAGTATTTAATTAAAACGGATCTTATTTGCATCGTGATAAGATTCAAAATTACTTAACTTTTTCATAATATCTGTTTAAAAATCTGATATTGTGCCTTGCTTGCCGTACTGCTCTAACTAGTGTAATATTTGTATCTCACGCGCTTTGTCGCTCAAAATCTGTTTAAAAATCTGATATCGTGCATTGCTTGCCGTCCCGCTCTAACTAGTGAGTATTTATATCTCACGCGCTTTGTCGCTCGATATCTGATATCGTGCATTGCTTGCCGTCCCGCTCTAACTAGTGAGTATTTATATCTCACGCGCTTTGTCGCTCGATATCTGATATCGTGCATTACTTGCCGTCCCGCTCTAACTAGTGAGTATTTGTATCTCACGCGCTTTGTCTCTTGAAATTTGTTTAAAAATCAGATATTGTGGTAAACGCGTATGATATCGCGATTCGTGTCGGTATAGCGAGCGAGCACGGTACATCAGATTTCGGAAATATCAGATATTGTAAAATACATAGATATTGAACGAGCCAGTAAGCGATATTCGGATATTGTACTAATATCTAGTTTTCATATCTGATACGATTTGTATCGCCCACTTCTATCTGCAAGTGTAGTCTCTACTCACCTGGCTGTTTTGGGTCGCCTGAGACACCACCGCGCTGTAGTTGAGCAGCGACTGCAGGAAGCGGACGATGTTGTCGTCATTCGCTTTCAGATCTAAGAGTGTTCTGCAAGTGTAGTCTCCACTCACCTGGCTGGTGTGGGTCGCCTGCGAGACCGCCGCGCTGTAGTTGGGCAGGGACTGCAAAAATCGGACGATGTCGTCGTCGGCCAACCAGCGTGCAGCCCTGGAGGCGCCGCCGGGCTGCAGCCTAGCGTGGGCCGCTCTGGCCGCCGCCGCCAGGGCTGCCAAGGCGGCGCTGACGGCCCGCAGCGCTGCGCCGCCGCCGCACGGGCCGCAGCGGCGCGCCCCTGCCGCGCACTCGGCCACCGCCTCCCACCCGGCCAGGGCGCACACGGACACGTTGCGCCGGTCGCTGACACGGAACGGTACGACATGTAACCTAACCTAACTTTCACAAATAACAGTCTGTCCCGCGACCACGGATATATAGATTATAGATATATGTATATATCGATAGTACCCGGAGGACCGAGCTTTGCTCGGTTTGTTTTTTTTGGTAAATCGTGTATTTTGGAAATTACATTTAGATACAAATTACTGAGTAATTAAATATGCATAATATTTTTCGATCTTACCGACGTAATAATAAGAAAATATGAACTGATGTTTTTTCACAAAAGAAAGAACTTTAAAAAAAAGGGAAAAAAATAACAAAATAACAAATTGACAAGAAATTAAAAATAAAGAAAGCAATGATCTGGAATCGAAAAAAGTAAAAAAATAAATGTGTAAATGATCGTGACGCGAACCACGGCCGTCTGTTTTGGGGCCGCCCGATTACCGACCGAGCTATTATGACATTTTCTCTTGCGGCGAAATTTACCGTCATATTCGAATTATATTTTTCATCCCCTGAAAACAGGGATAAAAGGGCATTTTTTAAAAATGAAACCTAGCTAGATCGATTTTTCGTCACCGAATCTACGCAAATACTAAATTTCATGAAAATCGCTGGAGCCGTTTCCGAGATTCCGATTATATATATATATACAAGAATTGCTCGTTTAAAGGATAAGATATGTATATATATATATATATATATATATATATCCATTTATATATGTATTGTGTATTTAAATACGTCTATTTTACTGTATGTACGTACTGCAATATACAGTAGACAATATTTTTTATCTGCCTAGTATTTTATGTAATGACTTATAAATTTGATCTTCTTTTTTTCATTTTACAATCAATGCACCTACTTTTCTGGACCACCCAAAGGCCACCAAAAATTGCTACCACTATCTACCAGTCAATAGACAATGCTGGCATTATCCGCCTCTGCACATATTTTGTGTGCATAAAGTATACATAAATAGTTTTCCGTCGTTTACTTAAATTTCTAACGGTTGAGAAGATTTGAAGATTTCAAAATACAATATTATCAATTATTCGCACTTATAAAGTTGTAGTCCGTCAGTTGACTTCGTAAAATATTTGCACACTTCATAGAGTGAAAAAGATCATGTTGAACTTCACCGTGACGTTGCCCCGCATGCCTTGTTTCGTTTTTAAATAAGGCAACGAGGCACTCACCTGGCAACACCGGCGGCGGCGGTCGGCACGGTGCGCTCCCGCCAAGCGGCCGGCGCCTTGGCGGCCGCTTCGATGGCGCCCCTCGCCTCCAACGCCAAACGCTCGCTCTCGCCCCAGCGCACGTAGTCCGTGATGAACGCGCGCAGCGAGCACTCGCCCCCGCTGCGAGTTGGTCCCCTCACTGACTCCTCGTTTATGAGTGGCCTTACTCGCACCGTGTGTTTTTATACAAGGTGACGAGCGAGTATCACTCGATGTTGAGACCGCACCATGGACAAATCATCCGTTGTATTGCTGTCACGTTGCTAACCATCGCCCCGGTGCAAGTTAGTCCACTGACTGAATCCTCGTTTATGAGTGGACTAACTCGCACCGTCTGTTTTTAGGGTTCCGTATTCAAATGGTAAAACGGGACGCCCTTACTAAGACTCCGCTGTTCATCTGTCTGTGACCAGGCTGTATCTCATGAACCGTGATCGCGTCTCCTCCGCTTTAAACATACATATCATACAAACCGAAACATACATTTCATCTATCGATAGTAATTTTTTTAGTCTACCGCCGTTTCGTAATGAGGTTCCCCTAACGGAGACGAAACAGGCGAGAGAAACTCTGTAGGTATTTTCATTTTTGTCATATTTTAGCTCAATACATTAAAATATTATAGAACGTTTTTTTCTTCTTATAGAAATAGCTCGCGAGCGATCGTCTCATGCCCAGGAGGATTCATTTATATCGTTTTTATTGTACCCGGGAAGGGACTCGATGTGCGCGCAGAGCGGGTGCAGGGCTGGCAGAGCGGCGTGCAGCAAGCAGGGCTGCGGCCGACACACCAGAGGATAGCGCTGCCGCCGCGCGCCGCTCGGGCTGCTAGGCACTGGCGCTGCAACCGTACAGCGGTACTGTCCACCATCGTCGGGTTTAATACAACGCCATCTAGCGGCGGTGTGTGGCGATTTGCGCTTGTCGTAGCGGTGACAGCGGAGTGCATATTTAGTTTCGGTGGTAATGCAATTAGAAGGCAATGTTTTATGTGAGATATAAAAAACAAACGATCACGCTATTAAACTCACGTTGACGATAGCTCGTTACTGTGGGTAAGTGTTCAGAAGTATTGTCGGTAGATATATCAGCGAGTGTATTTAAGAAATACAGATGGCGGCGATTCAACATCCAAATAGCTGCCCGCGAGTGGGTGAAGTGTCTGTACAATAGTAAAGTCACCAGCGGTAAACGTCAATAGACGCGATGTGAACGCGTAAATAGCCGACTATGAGCACGGAGATAGAGCCAGTGACCGCCACAGGAAAAAGCTGAGGGCGTGCGTCGGGTACAGCGGGCGTCGGGTACAATGGACGTCGGGTACAGTGGGCGTCGGGTACAGTGGACGTCGGGTACAGTGGGCGTCGGGTACAGCGGGCGTCAAGTCCAGCGGGCGTCACCTGCCAGCCGGAAGAGCTTGGCGCGGCGGCGCGGCGGGCGCTTCTTGGCGAAGAAGTCGGTGAGGCGCAGGTCGGCGGGCGGCTCCCCGGCCGGGCCCGCGCCGGCGCCGCGCGACGCCGCCAGCGCCACGCTCTCGATCTCCAGGTACTCCGTCAGCAGCAGCTGCAGCTGCGGGGGGAGAGGTTCTTGTTCATTTCTACCCACTCGTGCACTGTGTGACGTCACGTTGTTGTTAAAACAACAATGAATTATTTTGATTTGATTAGACACTAACCGTGTGGGTGTGACGGTTATGTGGAAAAAAATTAAATGCACCGTTTGGATAAAACTGGGTATACTGTGGAACGGACACGGAATTTGGTCCTCAAGAAATGTTATACGACGATAATTATGAAGAAAGTAATTCAAATTGATTGCATGAATACATTAGTACTTAAATAGAATACAGTAACAGCCACAAATACTAACGACTTGCTGCACAGCACTCCAGTAGTGTTGCTCGGTGTGAAGAGTTGTGTCGGGCACTCGGTACTTCTGGAGGGCAGCACGCCACAACTGCAATAGCCTACCAAGAAAATTTGGACTATTAAAATGTAACACATGCATGAATGAAGGTTCGATTAGTAATGTAACACATAATCGAACCTTCATGGACGTTGATTTTATTCTCAAGATCATCTTAAAACCTTGGGATGGTTATTGGGCAGGTGGTTCAACTGACGTTAGTAATCAACCCCACCCAGGGATGACTTCAATGACTGTGTTAGTTTAGTTAGTTGCGTTGCGTAGCACCGTTTTCTTGCTAAACATGTCCTTGGCGACCCATTTGGCGAAGTGGATAGTGACCCTTCATATTGCGCCGCCAGTGGGTGTGAGTTCGACCCCAACTACTGGAATTATTATGTGTTATGAACGTAGTGTTTTTCTAGTGTCTCTGTGTTTATATATCTATAATATGCATTATGTTTAAGTATGTCTATTAGTTGACTAGAATCCATAGTACAAGCTTTGCTTAGTTTGGAACTAGATAACGTTATGCAAAAATGACCTCGAAATATTTATATTTCTTTTTGGAAAAAATGAGTGATGCTCCCATTATCATCCATCATCCATTATCATCAAAACTCTCCTAGCGCTCTCTCAGGACACACACACACACACACACACACACACACACACACACACACACACACACACACACACACACACACACACACACACACACACACACACACACACACACACACACACACACACACACACACACACACACACACACACACACACACACACACACACACACACACACACACACACAAAAGCCAAACGCCCACCTTTTGTTCCTGGCGCCGCAAGCCCTGAACTCCTCGCTCAGGCAGGCGACCAGCTTCGCCAGCGGTCGCCCCGTCTCCGTCACTCCTTCGCTCTCGGCCATATCGCCGTCCTCCTCGCACTCGGGCTCCGCCTCCGCCTCCGCGTCGCCGTCCTCTATTATTCGCCGCGACACCGAATCGATCACCTCCAGCAGCTCCGTTTGTATTTGCACTTTGAACTTCTGTGGAGTTCCTTTTACGTGAGAAGGTGCTGGAAGAGACTAGAAGGAAGAGGCGGGCTCCATTCTACCTTCGAGAAAAGGTAGCGCGAGGGGCGTCCCCTAATGAGTAAATGTTTAACTGTAAGTTATTACGACAGGTCTTATTTAGTGAAATGATAGTTTATTTGACGTTCGATAAGAGCTTAAAACAAGTCTATAGTGAATGAAGAAAATTTGTCCTTGAATGACGGGCCCAACCGTGGCGACAGTAAAAGTAAAGTAACAGCCTATAAATATAAATATAATAGCCAATGCTGGGCAAATGCCTCCTCTGTACAGAGGGTATCAAGGCATAGCATCATTGCTCGAGTGAATTGAACTAAAGGCCAGCGCCCGGACTATCGCGGCTTCATTTCATTAAACGGTTACCTCAGTGGCCTCCTTCAACTGCTCCAACACCCCGAGCGCCTCCAGCGATATCATGACCGTGGTCTCGAACGTCTTGTCCTCTTCGGACAGCGACGCCTCGAACTCCGGGGTGATGTCTTGCAAGTACGCGTCGGTCACGTCTTCGGTCTTCGTCAGCTCTAAGGGAAGGATTTGCAACAATAAGTCGGTAACATATTTGCAACATGCTGTATACATCGGTGCTATATTTGCAACATACTGTATACATCGGTGCTATATTTGCAACATATGTGTAGGTAGCTTGGGTGTGGTCGATGGTTCAAACTAGAGAAGAACACTTTGAAGTCCTCAAATACTTCCCCCCCCGAGGAAATTTCTCGAGTGTGATTCAAACCTAAAAGAAGGTCCAGTAGTTTTCCGTTGTTAATGGTTGCTTCCATGTAGATTGGCCCCCAAGAAAAAAGACGCATAGGCAGACCATACACACGATGGGAAGATGATATAAAGAAGGTAGCGGGACCACAATGGAGAAAAACTGCTAAATGCAGAGACAAGTGGAAATTGTTGGAGGAGGCCTTCACCTAAAGAGGGTTCATGCAATAGAAGTCTTTAATCTATAGATTGTTAAAAACTTTTCTTTTAGACTTTTTATTTTAAAAAAAAACATTACTCACTCAATGTTAAATAACATTTCAATTGCATGAAATAAAAAGGCTTTTTATTTTATTTATTTATTTATAAAGGTTGCTTCCGAGAAAGTGTCTTGAGTGTGGTTCAAGCATAAAAAACACTCGGCAGTTGGATAGTGCTGAGCGAAGGTTACTCACCTGCCAGCAGCAGGGCTCCGCGCCTAAATGAACATTAAAAGAAGTTCTCCTAGCTGCGGTTCAAACCCTAGAGAGCAATCTGCATTCGTACAGTGCTGAGCGGAGGTTACGCACCTGCCAGCAGTAGAGCTGTGCGCCTGCGGGCGGACAGGCGCCTGGTCAAGGGCGCGCGCTCCCCTCTGTACACCGCTTCACCCAGCCGTCGCACTATCTGCTCCACCAGCTCCAGCTTTTTGGCCTGCGGAACAACCTCCTGATCGACTTCAATAGATCTTCTAGTTTGTACAGTCTTTGGGACTTACTACTCAACCCCTTACACACAACACTTAATGATGGAAGCACTTGTTGACTACCTTATCATGTTAGCACTGTTATAAAACTTATTTATGAACAATGAAGACCGAATCACCATATTGTAACAACTAAAAAATATTGATATATTATTACATAACGTTATCTAGTTCCAAACTAAGCAAAGCTTATGCTATGAGTACTAGCTAACTGTTAAACACACTAAACCAAAACTTGGGAATACTCAAATAGTGTAAATTTCAAATTAAGGCCTTACAACTGATTAACAAGCAATAAAAACAATGACATTATATCTTTTTCACTAAATCAACATATAAATGTAACCCTAATCTAAATTACCAGCTAAGTTTAGTAGCTAAATTATCTGGAATGATAAAAAGACAGGAGAGACTGTGAAACTGGTTAACTTCAATTTTTTAAATTTAATATTATAAAAAATCTACTATCTACTTATGTATTATAGCTTATTATAGACATCTTCGAAATAAATAAATCAAAAATATATTTATTCAAATAGACGCTTGCGCGCTCTTATGAATCGTCAAATTTTACATCAAAGATTATGTGTATAGGTTCGTAAGGTACCACCGGTTCGGAAAGCGGTTTCTGTTGAGAAGAGACCGGCAAGAAACTCAACAGTTGCTCTTTTTCAAAAATATCAGGGTACAATATAATATACAGGTATAATAGTCTTATTCTAGCCTACGTGAGTATCAACAGTATTAACTCCACACATTGGCGTCGTCGAGATATTCCGAAATGGTATAATATAATATATTTTTAATTTTACATTTAAATTGGTCAAGCGGCAGACTTAATATCGACTGTGGGATTTTATTATACATGCGCACACTTTGCCCCATGAAAGACCTATTTACTTTTTGTAGACGAAACAATGGTGTAATAAGTTTGTCCTTATTTCTAGTGTTTATTTTATGTCTGTCGGTATTCTTTAAGTAATAATTAAGGTTATGACGTAAATACAAAATATTACAATAAATGTATTGAGAAGCAACAGTGAGTATATTAACCTCTTTGAAAAGATCTCTGAGTGAATTTCGGGGTCCGATATTGTAGATTGCTCGAACAGATCTTTTTTGAAGAATAAATATAGAATTTATATCTGCACTACCCCACAACAAAATGCCGTACGACAAGACGCTGTGAAAATAACTAAAGTAAACAAGTCTGGCGGTATCGATGTCCGTTAGCTGCCTAACCCTTCTAATCGCAAAAACAGCGGAGCTTAGCCTATTCGCAAGAGATGATATATGGGGACTCCACTGGAGCTTTGAATATACTGTAATTCCCAGAAATATAGCAGACTCAACTGGATTAATGGGTACGTTATTAATAACGTAACGTATATTAAACTAAAACTTTCCCTTCTTATACTGGGAAGGGTAAAAAAAGTACATCTGGTTTTGTGTCAATAGTAAACCAGTGGAGGATATGTGAAAGTGCACTATTCACGTCGTCATAATTTAATACGTTTCGGTCAACTTTAAAAATTAGCGATGTATAGTCAGCAAACAGTACAACATCACACAACGCACTGGCATAAAAGGGGAGATCATTAATATATACTAAAAATAATAATGGGCCCATGATTGATCCTTGTGGGACACCCATTTTCATCGAGGACCCAGCGGAATTAACATCATTTATAGATACTTTTTGAATTCTATTACTAAGGTAAGACAATGAGATTGAGGGCGATGCCACGAATGCCATAATATTCTAGCTTTTGAAGGAGAGTTTTATGGTCTACGCAGTCGAAGGCTTTTGAAAGGTCACAAAAGACACCTATTGCATCTTGTGACCTTCCCAGGCGTTATAAATATGTTTGACAAGTGCGACGCCCGCATCTGTTGTCGATCTGCCTTTAGTGAATCCATATTGCTCATCGTGAAAGATTTTGTTCACATTAAAATGAACAAAATCTTTTTCAATAACAAAATCTATTATGACTTATAATAGACTTATTACGTGGAATTTGAAGCAATGTGTAATGACATTATTATACCTCTGTTATATGATAGAATCTTATAAGATCCCAAAAAAGAAACAACCGGAATACACACTTGATATACTGTGGTAAGGCCACACAACAGCTTCTGCCATTGCATGAATGAGAAGGTTCATCCGGACAAGTACCAAGATCTCACAAAAAACCGGCGTGAAGTGGAAGTGTTATACTTCTGTATTTCGTCTGGTGAGTGAGATAACCCGGATCCAATTTATTAAAAGGTGGCGACTCGTCTGAAACGCTATGAGTGTGCAAATCATGGGTGGCGTTTTTCACACAACATTAGGTGAACCACCACTCGGTGTACACCGGGCCACGAAAGTGCCACTCACCTGCAGGCTGTCCGCGGTGGCGGAGAGGGCGCGCACGTGCGGCAGCTCCGTACGTTGCGTGTGCAGCGCCGCCTGCAGTGCGTGGGCGGCGGCCAGGACGCGGCCGGCGCTCGCCAGCTCGCGGCAACACCTCTCCGACACCACCACCCTTTCGCTGAAACCCAATTAGACATAAACCAACTCATTTCACCTCTTAACCAAAGTTAAATATGCTATTTAAGTAAATCTATAATCATCGTTATTCGTTTAAGCGAGGTTTGTTTAATTTTTTTTATAAGTAAATGCTACTATTTCACAAGTAAGTATGTAAATGACAAAAGTTTGTAAAAACAGTTGCCTAAATCATGTTTTTAATGGTGGAACATAAGGGATGTTACAATTTTTAAGATCTAAATTGTTTTCTTTCTTTATGTTATTTCAATGCCGCAAAGCCTTCATTATTGCAACTTATAACATTTACTTTATTGAAATCAATAAATTTATTACCTCTGTTTTTTTTACTTATTACCATCTATACTTATAAGCCGGCCCATTGACATATGTGAATGATATAAACCCTAATAGTTCACTATTACTCACATATCAGCAAGCATTCGTAGAGCGTGGTGGTGGGCTCTAGCGTCTGCCCACAGACGGCGCAGATCGGCACGACGCAGGCGTAGCAGCGCTCTGCACGCCGCTAGCCTGGCCGCAGCTGCCGCACTATGCGCACCCCAAACACTTAGAGCTGCACCTACACTGGTGAATTTCTGTAATTAAGATATAATGGCAGGGTAAACTAGTAGAAGAGGATATTGACAGGGGATCTGAAATGGGCTGTTAAATTCCAACATTCAATGTGTTGTTAATTTTCTTCAATGTATTTTTAAATAAGAATTAAATAGTAAATAAGAATTAAATGTCCCTTTTCACAATTTATTTAAATTTGTGACAGTTTGTGTAATTAAAATGTCAAAAATATAATATGCTTTTGTGTATAGGACTATGTATCTGTCTACCATGTTAAAATAATCATGTATTTTAGTATTTATAGTTGACATGCAATATACCATTATTTATATCTGATGTGCCCAAAAATCAATTAAGCATTACAAAGGAGTTGCTTATTGCTTTATTTTTTTTCTTCCTGTACCAACACAAGTAAACAAAGATGTTTCCAAATTGTTAATATTACAGAATACTGTTTGGATACCTGCATAACTTCGGTAATTTCTTGAGAATGTGCTGCAACCAGCTCATCAAGTCTTGCATCAATCTTTTTGTACTCCTTTTCCAATTTAGCCCTCTCTTTTTCACGCTGCTCATTTGTCTCACTTGCTGATAATGTCCGAATGACAGACATAAGGAGACCACTCTAAAATATGTGAAATATGGTTCTAATCCTCTGAATACTTTAATTAATGTTCTTTGATGTCAGTCAAATATTTGTAAAGTTATTTTATCAAGATGTCTTTATTCATTACATTCCTTAAAGCATTTGAATTTTGCTATAATAGTTCTTTTGAATTATGAAAATGACTAGTGTTTGTTACATGATAAATTCTTCAATATAAAGAATATGATAAATAACGTAACCACTACTGGTTACGTTAACTATCAATACGTTATTATCAGTATCGTTAATGAGTTACAAACTTAGCTATAAGAATGTTCTAATAGCTAAGTTTGTAACTTTGTAGAACCCTTTATTATTTAATAACAGTACTCTTTATTCTCTTTTGCCTCAGACGAAACTTAATTGAATAAAAAATAGTGTTAGAATGTCTTTAATTACGAGAAAATGAATTGTACCTATCTATTTTTGTGATAAAAAATATTTATTTTCTTTCATGCATATAGCGATGGCCAAATAAAAATAATGTTTTGATAACTTATTTCGTGAAATTTACCGTTTCTTTTCCCTGTTTTACGCCTCGGGGAGGTTTTGTAGGTGGCGGAGAAGACATTTTTGAGTCTTTACTTACAATATTTATTAAAATCCGCCCTCAAATTAACAATTATTGACGATATGATTGACACTTGATTGTCGGTGTCATTTGTCAGCTTTGTCAGTGTCAAACGTGACATACAAAGTCAAGGTGACTGCAATGATTTTGGTAATTTAAACTTTCTGCTTTCATAAATAGTTTTTCATAAATATTTCTTCTGAGCGTGTGTATGCCACTAAACTCTCATAAACAGCTGGACCGATTTTAATAATTTTTTTTTTATGTCTTCAGGTTGGTTCGAGAATGGTTTAGACTCACATTTTTTTAAGTTGTTGTCGGATTTAAGTCGTGTGTACAGGACGTCTATCCGGTCTGTTTGTAATATATAAAAATACTAAGCCTTTATTACACTATGAAAACTATGAAAATACCCTACATATGCATTTATAGGGTGTGCGGCTGCTTAACACTTTAATTTTTAGTGAAATTTTATTTAGTGAAATTTGCTTTTAGCCCGGCAGCTTTGACAACTTCGGTGGATGTGGGCCAAGATCCTCTCGAACTTAGGAAAAAAGGACGTAGCTCTTGCACGTCCATGACATTACGACAACGTCCGCTCCGCTGCATCACCGCGACGCTTGTTAATGATAGGTGGACAATTTGATTAGGATAGATAGAGGACACGACACGATTCAATGGCTGCTGATATGTATATAAATATATATTGCAATTCGGTGATCTATATGTGCCACGGGGCATTGGTTGCATGACGAAGCAATTGATTTTAAATTATTTAAAGCGGTTTCATGTGATTGGCGTGGATTTTACCAGAAAGTATTCACTCGTGTAAAAGAAATTAAGTAATTCTTATTAGCTGCAGTGATTGTAGCGGTGCATATTAATTGTAAAGTTGATATTAAATAAATAAAACATTGTTAATTAACAAATCAGTTAATCTATTGTTGAAGATAGCTAAAAATGGAAATGAATGTTATATAATATAATTATAATTTTTATTGTAGAATTTTCTCTCAAACTGAATACTATTACCATAGATTATAAAATTGTTTTGTTTAGTTTTCGATGAGTTTGACATTGTCGTTGAACTTTAACTTGCTCTACTACCGTTTCTTTCAAAGTTTGAATTTTCAAATGTTCTGTAAATCGCATTATTAAATACTTATTGTGTTTGTACTCGTAATTAATATTTGAATTAATAAGTAATACATTCCCATGCAACAATTCATACAGAGATAATGGATTATTCGACGATAAGCAACAAAACTAACTTTACAGAAGTGGAAGAACTAACGAACGGAGAATTGAGTGAACGGTATTATTTGCTACGGAAACAATACGAGAATTTATCCAGCAGCTATGAAACGACAAAACAGGAGCTTCACGAAACCAGACGTAATTATCAAACCGCTCTTGATGTTCAGAGTCATTTAAATGCGGAGTTGGAGAGCCTGCAAGTGGATGAGGAGAAACGGCGAGGTGATCTCAGTTCTCGCATCAATTTGCTGCAGGAGCAGATATCAGGACTACGGGAGGAACGCCTGGAGACTGAAACTCGTCATGCGAATGAAATAAAAGAGTTGGAATCCGAGATTAGGCGTCTCAAGGAAGAAAATGCCGTCGTGGACTCTAGGAAGTCACCAGAACGGGACACAGGCGAGCTGGATGAGATTCGTTCAGCATTATCAATGGCGTTAACGGAAGCTGCCTCTGTGAAAGCAGCTCTTGAAGAGGCACGTTCAGAAAACGCGTCTTGGCGTTTAAAAGTTGAAGAGTTGATGTCAGAAATTGGTGAACACAGAGCAGCTTCAGAGATACGAAGGGAAGAGCTGAAAGCAGTTGCGGAACGTGAGGCGTTAGCTTTAGCGGACTTAGCTGAGGCCAGGGCTATGTTGCATCAAGCAGACTCGCAGGATTTACAGCCGCATGGTATGAATAAATATTGGATTTTTATATCACTGTAATTTTTAATTTGCATCAACACAGTGACAAAAAAGTAAGTGCAAGTATATGAAATGTTTATTTTGTAATTTATTAGCATTTTTCTCCATGTTAATATTAAATGACAATATTTGTAATAAATACTAAGAAATGCAAAAATGTTTTGAGAAATGCAAAAATTGCAAGGTTATATATAATATACAGTAATAATTAAAAATCCATATTATCTTTTCTAGCTGCAAAAGGTAATTCAATATTTGCCGAAGTAGAAGACAAGAGACAGGAAATGGCCAAGAACTTGATACAAATGAAACAGACAAATTCCAGGGTAAATGATTAATTTCGTTATAAATCAACAGATTTCCACACACAGAGAATTCAATTAGCAGTTATCTAGACAGAAAAGTACTTTTTTTTTTTTTTTTTTTTTTTTTCTTTTCCTTTATGGCGGTCTTTAGGTATTCGCCAATGTCCACGTTAATATAGGAAAGTTATTAAGTGGATTGGATATCGAACAGATTCGGCATAGCAGAGGCATAAGAGATCATATAAGGGAATTAAAATAAGAAAAAAAAATAATATGTTGAGAGCAAGAAAGAAAAAGTAATTTCCTGTTGAATTACCTAGAACAATGACAAACAGTTATATTAGACATGAACCTTGAATCCGTCAAAGTTTAATTTTATTAGATATAATAAAGTCGCATAGAATATATACAAATGGTGAATTAGTGTAAGTTAAAAGGGAGGAAAAATTAATAGGACGAGGGATGTAGGGGGGAAGGGAATCATACAATGATGTTGATAGTTTAGGACATTCAAAAAATATATGGTTGGTGGTTCCTTCATCCAAACCACACTCACACAGAGAACTATCCCTAATCCTAATCTTTGCAAGGTGAACATGGGTGCATGCATGACCAATTCTTAGTCTGCAGATGGTGGATGTGGCATGTTTGTTGGCCTTATTATACTTGAAGAACCAGGGCTTTACAGGAACTTTTGGTTGAATAGAAAAGTAAAATTTACCCTTTTCTGGAGTTAAAATTTGATGATTCCATTTGTTGGTTAGTCTCAATTTAGCTAGTGGAATAACATCATGGGAAAATGTAATATTTTTGATTATGCCATTATGTATAGCATCTTTAGCTAGGCTATCAGCTGTTTCATTTCCACAGATTCCACTATGGCTAGGAATCCAAGCCAAGGATACATGTAATTCTTTTTGGTGGCATTGAAATAGAATCTTTTTAATATTAAGAACTAGAGGGATTTTACACTTAACACGAAATTGATTATACAAAATAGCTAGTAGGCAACTTTTAGAGTCTGTAAATATTATTGATCTGTCTAGGTTGTGTGACTCAATATACAATAGTGCTTCATATATAGCAGTAGCCTCTGCAGTAAATATAGATGTAGGGGAAGGACATTTAAAATTAAGGGCTATTTTATACTTTGGGATCCAAACTGCTGCTCCAGAGTAACCCAATTCACTGAATTTGGAAGCATCTGTATACATTATTAGCCAATCCTTCCAGTATCTTTTAATGGCCAAACTCAAGTTAAAATCTGCCATCGGACAATCTTTCTCAATGCCCAGGTCAAGATGGATGTCAGGTTTAAAAATTAATGCATCATAAGGAATATCAAATAATGGGTTAGTCTTACATTGAAAAATAGGAGAGGGGAAACGGAGAAAAGTGACCAAACTCTTAAACAGACATGGAGGATTCTTGTGGACCCAATAGTTGCTTGAAGAGACATATTCAGATAGTTGGTGAAGCCTAGGAATTAAGGGGTGAACTGAGAGTTGACAGGTCTTGAAAAAGAATCTATCCGAAAGATACTGCCTTCTTAAGTGAAAAGGAGGATCAACACACTCCACCTGAAGGGCATTATTAGGTGAGGACTTCATTGCACCCATAATGATACGCAGGCTTTTATATTGAATTTTGTCTAACACGTTAAGTGATGCTTTACTACATGGCTCGAAAAGAAAGCATCCATAATCGATGTGGCTACGAATTAGTGAGTTGTAAACTAATTTTTGAGAGAATGGATGAGCGCCCCACCATACGCCAGAAAGGGACCGAATAATGTTCAAATTTTTCTCACATTTTTGGGAGATATAATCAATGTGAGTAACAAATGATAATTTGGTGTCAAGAAAAACACCTAAAAATTTAACTGAATCACTTATGGGAATATGCTGGTTATCATAAGTTATTATAATATTTGGCACATTTTTACGCCGAGAGAAAACTACGACATTACTTTTGGAGGGGGAGAGGGATAAGCCATGTTCAGTTAACCAATCTTGCAAATAGAACAAAGCGGAATTTAGACGTGAGCAAGCTGTAGAGATGTTATCTAGGGAAATGTACAAGGCTAGGTCATCTGCATACTGAAGAACATTACAAAATGAATTGACAGAAAGCTCTAGATCAAAAGTATATATATTATAGAGGAGAGGACTAAGGACAGAGCCCTGAGGTAGGCCTTTCCAGACAGTTCTTGATGGAAGGAGTGAGTTTTGAACATTTATACTAAAATTGAGCCGGAGGAAAGGTAGTTAAAAATAAAGTTAACAATCTTCACTGGTATGCTCAGCTGTAACATTTTCTGTCTGAGCACAGGAAGAAGAACATTATCATACGCTGAAGAAACATCTAGAAATACCCCTACAAGGTATTGTTGCATTGAATAGGCAATTCGGATATCTGTGACAAGCGTGCTTAGGCTATCCATTGTGCTCAAACCTTTTCGGAATCCAAATTGGCTCTTTGGTAGATAATTTTGGCTTTCCAAAAACCACTCTAGGCGATTTTTTTATTAAATGCTCAAGAACTTTGGCAATTGTACACGAGAGAGCTATGGGTCGAAATCCAGATGCATCATTACCAGCCTTACCAGGCTTAGGGACAGGAATAATGATTTGCGACTTCCATTCATCGGGTGGGATGCCAGTAATGAATATATTATTCAAAAATTTAAGTAAAATCAGTTTTGTTCTTTCACTACTATTAATTATAAAGGAATAGGGGATTCCGTCAATTCCTGGTGAAGAATCTTTAAGACCACTAAGAACACAGAAAAGTTCTTGTGGAGAAAATGGGGAATTAAATTTATCAGCCGGTTGCTGTGAGGGAGAATCAAAAAATAGACATTCATCATAGTTTGGGGCTGATGGTGGAGCAAGTTTATTCAAAAAGTCTCCAATCCAAACAGAATGATCATTAAAAGTAGGGTCTACACTAACCATTGCACAACGAAACCTTTTAATATTTTTCCATACAAGTGATGGAGGAGTATTGGGAGACATGGATGTACAAAACCTGAGCCAGCCAGCTTGCTTCTTTTGGGATAACAATTTCATAGTCTCTGCTGCAGTTTTTTTTATAAAAAATGTAATTCTCTGTGGTCATTGACTGTGAGTATCTACGTTCAGCCTCTTTTCTCTTTTTGCATGCTTGTGTGCAGTCATGATCCCACCAAGGGGGAGATGGAATGTTATTTTTAAAAGGAGTTTTGAGTGGAAAGACTCTGTCAGCTACAGATAAAAGTAGATTTCGAAACTCTTTATAAACTGAAAGGACATTATCTTTATTAATTGGGGGTAAATCTAAAATTTGACTATCTAAAATTGATGAGTATAGTGACCAGTTAGCTTTGGATAAGTTATATTTTTGACGAGGTCTAAATTGATTGTTTACAAATAGAGAAGAATTAGGAAATGTAACAAAAATTGGGAAATGATCACTACCATGCGTAGAAGGGAGTATATGCCATGAAAGAAGAGCACGAAGATCTGGTGAGCAAAGTGACAAATCCACAGCACTTTTTGTATTTTGAATTGGGGATGTTCGACGGGTTGGAGAGCCATCATTTAGAAAACAAAGATTTAAATTATCAAGTAGTTCTAAGAATATGAGGGAAAGTGCATCAGAATACTGAGAACCCCACATAGTATGGTGGATATTGAAGTCCCCCAATATAACAATAGGTGGTGTGTGAGAGACGACAGAATAGAGAATAGCTCTGAAATAACTGAAGCATTAGGTGAAGGGATATAAATAGATAAAATTGAAGTATTAAAAGCTTTTACTCCTACTATATTTATAGAAGAGGAGTGGGAGGGGAAGGAAATAGAAGAGAAGGGTACTTTCCTTGAAATAAAAATAGCACTGCCTGCATGACCATCATTTCTGTCATCTCTTAGGCATGAATACCCACAGACTCGGAAATGGGATCCTGGCTTGAGCCAAGTTTCTTGGATAGCTAGAATAGAGGGATTAAATTTATTAATGAGATGAAGAAGTTCATGTTTTTTATTTCTAATGCTCCGACAGTTCCATTGTAGTATCGGAGGGAAGGTTATTGGTGAATGAAATCAGCTGAGTAAGTTTTTGTTTTAAATTAAGTGGAAGATCAACGTCACTGAAACGAGACAGCATACTAATCAACATGGAAATTAACAGTTCAAACAGATTATCATTTGGGGTTAAGGTATCCTTTCCAACTAAGGCACTGCCATTAGGAAGGGAGGAAGGAGGGGTTGCAATAATTTCTTGATGAGCTGCCCTATCATACCCAGGACTAGAGGCAGGCTTATAGGGAGACCTAGGAATAAGGACAGTTTCTCTGTATGAGTTGTGCTGTATTGGAATTGTAGTGTGATTTCTTATAGGTGTAGGACTTGAAGTTCCAATATGAGAATTGACTGGTAGACTCTTAGCAGTATCAGCAAAAGTTTTCCGGACCTGGGAGAATCTAACAGAAGCCTCAAGATAGGAGATATTCTCCTGAGACATTACTAGTTTTATAGATTTTTGTCTGGACTGTTCAGGGCAAGATGGATCTTTTGCAGTATGAGGGCCTGAGCAGAACAGGCAAAGTGGTGACTTGGAGCATGAAATTCCCTCATGATTTGATGAGCAAACAAAACACCGGGGAGCAGATCTACATTGAGATGTTACATGTCCAAAACGGCAACATTTGAAACATTGTATGGTTGGTAAAACATAAGGTTCAATAGGCATTGAGGTATAATAGGAATAAATATGGAGTGGGAGCTTCTGTCCTAAGAAGGTCAGCACAACAGTTTGGGTGGGGATCCAGTTGGGAATGTTATTTTCATTTGTTGAGCGTCTATTCATTCTACGGGCTTTAATTATTGTTCCATGGCCATTTGGTACTGTTATTGAGGAAACAAAATCTTCTAAAGCCCATTCAACAGGGACTTGTCTTACTATTCCCATGCGAGTTACATTATATGATGGGATGACAGCTTCATACTTAGCAGCAGAAAGAGCAGGGTGAGATATAAAATTGTTGGCATCAGCTACTGTTTTAAATTCCACTGAAATTCTGTTCCTACCAACCTTTTTAACTCCATCACAAACCACATTCTTAATATTATTATGGTATAAGAAATGCCCAAACTGAATGGGTTTTAAAACTGCTCCAGAGGTAACCTCTGTTAAAATTTTGCTAACATGTACTAAGAATGGAGCTTCATCATCAGTAGAATAGGATGTTTTTTTGTCAACATAATTGGGATGAACATATGTAGATTGCATGGATGGGAGAGACTGGGATGGATCAGTAATAAGCCTCTTCTGAGGATGAATGGACACATTGTGAGTATACGAACGTTTACGATTAAAAGTATCAGTGCTATCTAAGGATACATGATTAGAAGAGGAAAAGGAATTTGGTCCAATATTAGGTGGATCGGGATCAGGAGGATCCTCCTCCATAGTGTTAATAGCTACTTACATACAAAAAACGGCACAATTTACCACAAACTACCTAAAAACAAGACAAAATAACACGAATGTTAGATTAAAATAAATCAACAGTACTTAAAAGTACGGAAAAAGCAAAAAAAATTTACACAACGCTTGTATGTATCACTAAGCCTCGTGCGCGAATCCCAGAAAAGTACTTAATAATAGGTAAAACATCTTGATAAAACTTGAGGGTTGATTGATATCCTGACACTGTTAAATACCAATAAACCAAACCATAAAGGATTTTTTTTCTAAAAACTAAAGTTGTAAAGACTGAAGGATACTTTTCCTCTGCAATTGGATGTAAAGTTTTTGTTTCATTGCAATTTCAGGGATTTTCTTGTGAGGTTAAATGTATTTTCTTTTACATTTTATTGCATTACATTTGCATTTAATTATTAAAAAATGTAAACATTTCAGTTAAGACGAGACTTGGCAAACAAACAGGCCGAATTGGATGCTCTATTGCATGAGAAGCAGACAATATGGGAGCAACAAGCAGGAGCCGCCGCACATTACGATAAGGAATTGCTTGGTGAGTAACTTTGGGCATGTTAACGGTCATGCAACCAATCATATCGACTTCCTCCAACAATATTTATCTGCCATTGGTGGCTGCATAGTAGGGCCAAGTGGTTGATCAGCATTTAAATTTGCAAATAAGAATTTCATGGTGATTTTAATGGGTGTTGAACTCAAGTTTCAGGCATTCTCTGAAGAACCTGAAGAACTAAAGTGAGTACTAGGACACTTATTTTTAATAAAATTAACTAACTATAAATATTTGTAGGTCATATGAATGTTTGTGCCAATGAGTTTAGCTCTCATTCTACAATACTTTTTCATATTTATACGAAAACTTTACTTATAAATTAACTTTATTTATACTTTTGACCACATTTTGTGGTGCACAGTTATTAAAGAAACATATGCCATTCTCGACAGATAGCTACTCAGAGCGAATCACGCAGCTGGAGGGTGTGTGTGAGAAGCAGAGGCGTGAATTGGCTCGCTGGTTCAAACAAGCAGAGCCCAGCGCGCATAGCTGGCTACCGGCGCTCCTGGATCATCTTAAGTTTGTTTTATCCATTACCTCCCTTGTATGACAAGTAGACAATGCCGATTATGTTGACTAGCGAGATTCAAAACAAATATCTTTTACTACTCAATTGGCATAGAGGGTTGTGCACCTGCCTCTTGCGCCAGTGTGTTGGTTTATGGTATAAGTTGTACTCATAGTAGAAGCATTGCTTAATTTGGGACTAGAGAATGTTGTGTAAAAATGAATCTTATACTTAAAAAAAATATTTAATATCTAATTAAACAAAATCCTCTGACTGCCGAGTGAGATTTGAAGGGCTCTGGACAATCATAAGAATGGAAAAGCATCAGAAGAGGACGGATATACAGCAGTTCTTCTGAAAGAGTGTGGAGAACCTGTGCTTGTGGTCCTTCAGAGGCTCTTTAATTCTGTCCTTCAGGATTGGTCTACACCAAATTTTCACTTCTGTTCTTCAAGACAGGTGATAACGCTCTCTTGAAGAACTATAGACACAAATACCCTTCTGAGCCTCATCCATGTGCTATTTTAAAGAGTCATCTTGCCGATATAAATATCGATATATATTTTTCTTCCTTTGGACATCCCTAAATAATTCCAGGAGCGAATGCGAACAGCTGCGCGCCGAGGTGCTGTCCCGCGGCGCGGCGCAGTTGGCGAGCGCCGCCCAAGTGAGGGAGCTGCGCAGGAAAATCGCCCTTCTGAGCGGCCAAGCGCCCAAGGCGCCCCCCTCGCCCGACGCCGCCGACAAGGGCGAGAATCGCGTGCAGCGGGTCCCGCCCACGAGGAGGCCCGCTGCGGACGATGTCAAGAAGAAAGTCTCCTTCAACTGATTGAGAATAAACTTTGTTCTGTGTCGCATTTTCATTTTATAGTTATCTTTATTATATTTATATAAAATTATGCCTCCGTATGTTTGCGTCCACAGACTCAGACTAGCCCATGGATTTAAGGTGCATTCGGCAAATTCCGTAAATCTGGATATTCTGATATTCATATCATAATCACAATTTTTATTATGAAATATGGCAAACATTTTTGCTCTGACAACGTTCACCTAGCGTTCAATTAGCCGAATGCACCTTACTTGATATTTGTTTACAACATAACAAAAAAGTGTTTTCGTATAGTTTTCATTCAGACGTACTAACGGAGACGAATAAAAAATGTATTTGTATTTGTTCATGTATATTGTATTAGTTTGTAATGTTTCCATAGCGTTAAGCGGTTATTAAAGTAATTAATGTGCATCAGATAATCAAGATGATGTAATGCGTAAACATGATGATTACAATGTAGACGCGGATATCCGGAATCGTTAAAAATAGTTTCTTGTAACGTGACTTATTTGTTTTGGAAACACCACACTCGTCTATCTCTTATTTGGAAGAATTTTAACTTAACAATGGTGATTACTTTGAATGGAATAAACGGGAATAAAACACATTGAATAAAACTGTTACACATTTTATTGTCTTTAATTTGTTTTTAATTTGCGATGTTGCTAACAGATAGACTTCGGCGGCGCTGATAGGGGGTTCAAAATCAAAATCAAATCATTTATTAATTGAAATAAGAAATATACATTTCATTTATGATAGTCAATTTTTAAATCTATAGGTACCACCGTTTCGTAATGAGGTTCCTCTAACGGAGAAGAAACAGGCGAAAGAAACTCCGTAGGTATCCTCTTCTTTGTCATGTTTTTTCTCAAACAAATACATTATTGTACAGTACATATTTTTTTTAGAAACAGCTTAGGAGCGATCATCTCATTCCAAGGGGTTATTATCGTTAATGTATTCATTTATATTATGGTAACCCTTTTTAATAAATTTCTTAATCCTGTTAATAGATAGGCTTTGCACATTAACTGGGATTTTGTTGTAGAAGCGTATACCATCCCATGGACGAGTTGATGAGTTCGATTCCGACATGGTATACAAAAGAGTTCCCGTGGCCCTACCGATATGCGCCAGGGTAAACATCGTGCGGGTTTTAGTCGGTGAGAGTCCGACATAACCCATCCTTAGCCCCGCGAAGGTGGATATGCGTAGGCATTTCCTCACGTTAACAAAAAAAGGCAGCCGATGCGCCTCTCCGACCGGGTTCCCGCATTATCGCAGCGGAGAGGCTTAGTAGCCGTGGCTTCGTCACCCCCGGCGAAGCCAACCAAGAGAAGAGAATATGGCAAAGAGGGCCGGCCGGTCTGCCCTTATCGCATCTAGGTGGGTTCGGCATGTGTGTATCATTTTGTAAGTGGTTTTGCCTATGATTTTTCCTATGATGGGAGGATACCCTCCTTGGGAAACCAACGCCAGATCCCAAATCTGTGGGTCGCACAAATAATTGACCCGTTTGGGAATCGAAACCGCGACACCCTACGCCGAATACAATAGCTTACCAAACTAGTTACGTATAATGTGGTAGATGAAAAAGTAATAAAGATAATTAACGTTTTGTCATATAAAGGTCAAAGACATGGGGGGTTTCTTTAAGAAGGCTAGTCTCAATCTGGGCTTGTCATCATCGCGTAATCCATGACATAATTATGTGTTTAAAGTTTTATAATAAATATAAATGTCGATAGATAAATAAATTATTCTAGTAATAGTCCTCTCCACCCTTCCACGGTGATATCTGCCTAGGTACTGATAATAGGTATTATTCTAATAATATTGCTATCTAACAACAATAAAAAATAAACGTCACATTGTAAATTTTGTAGAACATATTGGAAAATTAATTGTTACATGAATGATGAAAACGTGTAACTTAAAAGAAATCAAAACATCTCAAAATAAATAAACGTTATTCTGCTATGAAATGTTTCCTATTTGTAAGATTTCGTCTTTCTTAGAAGCTTCGAAACGGTTCTAAATCGAATAAAGAAGTCTTATGGTTTAAAAGATGTGACGAGTCCCGGTATTTTTAATTGAACTAGGAAATGAAATTAAACTCTGTAATTAAATATCACTTTCTTTAGCGAATTTCGCCAGCACAATTCAACAAACACCCACGAAATCCATAGATTTCGTATCGGGGAAAACAATGGTACGGAATCCAGGGCAAAGTAGATGCCTATAGGAGTCCGTTAGGTGTTTAAAAGCGCGTGGTCCGAGTCATCCAGTCGCCTCCTGCGGCGGGGCGAGGTCCCTGAGCTCGTGGACCCTGGCGTGTGCCACTCTCCTCTCGCGCCTCGCGTGCTCGCGCGCGTCCTTCTGCGTGCGCGCGCGGAGACGTCTGGCCGCCGTGCCTTTCACGCAGCGACTGAATGCAGCTTCAGCCGACGGCCACAAGGGTAGAAATAAGTGGGTCGTACGAGCACAAAGTGAAAATAACTAGGTGATACGCCGTAGTCTAAAACTTGGAATACGGGCTTCCTTAAGGCAAGGGTTGCCTTACGTAACGTACGTGCGGCTTGAGGCAGTTGAATCATATTTTAGTCATTCGACTGCGGTCAACGATCGTCCTAAATTCTTCTCTTAATAGTGTTGTCGCTGGCAACACTAAACCGGATATGACGTTATCTATTCGAGCGAAGAGGCACAATATGGTCTCATGGAGCAGCGGTCACTTGCTTTTGGGCTTTGGGCTGCGATCCCGGCCGGTGATATAACCACTAGTGCTGCTTGTCGTTATAATAGTTGTTAATATTCAAGTTCGGAAAAAGTTAAAATATTAAAATTAAAGTAATAACGTTTGAACTCTTATAATAGTAAAAGGACAACGGGTAATGCACCCGAATTGAATTAAAGAAATAAAAAGAAGCTTGTAACGGTATCTTGTATTATTATTAATGTGCTGACTGAAAGTCCCGAGACTATTAAAGCTTCATCTGACGCAGATGTAACGGTTCAACTACTGAGTGTAGTGAACATATGGTGTGTAGTTAAGCTAATTGCACTTTAATGTCGGTATGATCTTACATGACAACATGTATTAGCCAGCTCAACTGAACAAGGACATGACAACATGCATTAGCCAGCTCAACTGAAGAAGGATCAAGACCTCACAGGAGATGGGCATTGGTATACAAAAGGTAACCATATATTTGCCTTTTCTTTTATATGAATACCCAGTTGTCAAGTAAACAGATGGTTAATCTGATGCTAAGTGTTTACTTGCTACGCACTACTTCCATGAACATCAGAGGTAATGCCTCAGGATGCGACAATTTTTTTAAAAAAAAATAGGCCTCGGTCAACTCCCTCAACAGAAAAAACGCGAAAACATAATACTACCACCTAGTCTTCTGTGATTGGCGCGGTGACTGCAACATCTGTAAGCCACCCGCTTGTTCTGTCGCCGTCTCTTTGCCATTAGAAACCTTTTAAAAGACCCTCACGAAGGAAAGTGCAACTAACCGCTTGCTCTGTCGTCGTCTATATGAAACCTTTAGAAGGACCCTTATGAAGGAGAAGGCAACAAGTTACCGACGACTTCAGAGCACTGCAGACGCTGTTCGTTCGGATAGCGCTCGTAGCAATCGATGACCCTCTGTTTGCAGTCGGCACACACCGGCGCGACGCTCACCATATTGGCGGTGCGCAGCTCGATCCGCGCCGCGGTCTCCCTCAAGTCGTCCACGGTTATCCTGATTCAAAAGTAGATGTATATACACACGTATTAAACACAACCTACTTAGCCTTAACATCTTTATTATTTTTATATTACCTTATTATCTCTATATGTATAATTCTACTGTACGTGTGTATGTCACTGAACTCCTAAATGGCTGGACCGATTTTAATGAAATTTTGTGTCTTCAGGTCGATTTGAGAATGGTTTAAATTCACATTTTTTTTGTTTCATTTATAAGTTGTCGGATTTAAGTCGCGTATACAGGACAACGTCTGTTGTGTCCGCTAGATTTTTCTGTATAATGTCTAAGGCTATATATTACTATTGGTCGAAATTAGAATTAATTATACATGGTAGAGTATGTAATGTTATTTTTATTGATTTAATGTGTTTTAATGCATAATTAAAAAAAATATTAGCATTATGCACTCCTTCTCTATATAAACTTTAACAGTGGGAAGTTTCACACTCCTCCGTCAGTCAGTGCAGTTTTTGTAAAAAGGGGTACAAATTTTTTTGCTTCAAGTATTAATATATAGATTTACCCTTCTACAGCGTAATGTTTATGGCGATTTTTTATTACAGGGATTCGATAGCCCGTTGGTGATATTCCTTGCCATAGATAACGCACGCATGTGAACATGCTCGGTGAAGGCTGTATCAAGGTCGTGTGTTTTGGCTAGCCCACAACTGCATTCGATGAAGCTTTAACAGTCTACTGGCTGAAAGCAAAAAAATCAGTTGAAGTGAACGTAAAAGTAACTCCTTATTCGGTAACCGTAATAGTAAGCGGTAACATGGAACGATTATCAGTTAATAATGGAATATTTTACCAGTTCAGGAACCGAACCTATTAGTTAACTGTGTCACTGAGCCAGCATGTAGTTTCCGAAGAAAGAAAGAAAGAAAGAAAGAAAACATTTATTGCTCAAATACGCCACATGTACATTTAAACCATTAACAAAAAATACATACTAAGAAGAAAAAAAAAGAAGAATAAAAAAATATTAAATACATTACACATTTTACGCACACAATTGTGTGTGGCGTATACGGCAAACAGACCACACTCAGCTTAATGCTGCAGTCAATACGAGACTACAGCGCTGGTTTTCAGTGGGCCTGTGAATTAAGTGACGTACGGACGTTCACACCGTCATTCAAACACTAATAATAATTAACATAAATTACATGAATGAACTAACTGGATCTAATGAAAAAAAAAAAAAAAAGGAAAAGAATGTCCGAAACATTTTAAAAAGTGTTGTTATCACCATAAGAGTCATGTATATTATGAGGAGTTGGAGTTGGAAATAATATAAAAGATATGCTAAATGATGGTACCCTACAAAAATATTTTCTCACAGGTATGTAATCATAATCATAATCTTAAACAACAATTTTATCATTGGAAACAATATTTTAATAAAGTCAGTAATTAATAGCATGAAAAAAAAAAATTTTTTTTTCAGCATTTACGTATCAAAAAAAAAAAAAAGAAAAAAAAGTTCTATGCACTCTCATGTGCTTTTCGTATGAACCCACCGGACAGCGCTAAGTGTCTGTAATTATTTAGGTACGTAAATATCACGCCATAGCTTTTTGAACATTAATTAGGTGAGCTTTATGTTTTATTTTAAATGTATTTAATGTTTTCAGACTACGAAGCGGTGGCGGCAGGTTATTCCAGCATTTAGAGGCAGAATATTTGAAACTTCCACGAAAGCCGATGGTACGATGGTAGGGAACAACCAAAGAGTAACATGACGAGCGAGTGATCTTTGATTGTACGTCGCGAGACCACACTAATTTGTGATATAGATAAGGTGGTATATTATATTTAATTAATCCAAATAGAAATGTGGCTAGGTGGTGTTCTCGACGATACTGCATTTTTAAAATACTGTGCTCGTTTATGTACGGCGTGACGTGAGCGCGTGGAGGTATTTTAAAGCAAAATCTCGCACAGGCATTCTGCACCCTCTGCACAAGTTTCTTGCTACGCACAAGCAGACGAGGGCCATACACTATATCCATATAATTAAATTTAGACAAAATCAAAAGACAAAGTATATTCAGTGGTCATAATACTGTTTTTATTTAATATTAATTTATTGAAGGCGTCCAAAGAGCGCATTTTGTTTTCTGTCATGGCGCATAAATCACCGCGATCGTACTATCTACGTGGGAGGTAGAGGAGGCCTTCAGCTTAGGTTAACGTCCTGTGAATATTCTAGATATTAGTTGTTGAATTATTCGTGTATTTTTTGTTATTAGGTCGTGATAAATAAAATACTGTATCTTAAAGCGAATACTATATGAATACTGTTTATATTGTTGTAGGGCCAAACAGCAGTAATAGAAGTATTTGTAGTTCTGCATCCCATATGGCGTGTGAGGTACCCAACGTCCATTATTTCATGTTCATGGACAGAAGTAGTAACAACAGCGAACTTCCTACTCTTTTAGCACCTCCCATAATTAATGTATATTAGCCGGAAATGACAGACTGTTAAAAGATAAATAAACCTGCCAAGTGCGAGCCGCACTCGCGCACGAGAGTTCCGTACAATTATCTATAAAAACGGTAAAAAAATCATGTCTGTTTTATGGGAGCCCCACTAAAATATTAGCTTATTCTGTTTTTTAGTATTTGTACAACAGAAATACCTAATCTGTGAAAATTTCAACTGTCAACTGTCACGCTTCAGGGGTTCAAAGTCAAAGTCAAAGTCAAATATTTTAATTATAAACCACTAGATCTATATTTTATCAAAATTTTATTTTAAAATGATTGAATTTGAATTAAATGAATGATTTTTAAAATGATTGATTTTTATACATTATTTACTCATTTAATGATTATGCTGTATTACTGTTTCTTATTCTACACGCCCATGACGAAGTTTTCTGGCCTCGACTTGAATGACGTTCAATCGAATTAAAAAGTGAATAGTCAAAAAGATTCTGACTTAACTTTAAGACTCTCGTGTTATAGTGTCTTATGGTGTTATCGTGTATATGGTCTTGTTAAGAACAAATCGACCATTCTAAACTTAAAAATTTGATTAAAAAAAATGCTCTCATGCCTGTATCTTTGCGAGTGGTTTTCGTCCAAGTACACGAGTTTTTCCATAAATATCTTCTCTTTATAGTCGCCGCGCGGTGCTGAGGTCTCCTTAGCGGCCGCCTTTCCCGCCAACGTGGCGTCCTCTACCAGTCTTTCGACCTTTGGGTTGCAAATGAAGAAATAATTTTTTATTTCGTGGCCATGAACGCTGAAAAGGGTTAAAACTAAAAATAAACGCAATAACTCCGTAAATACTAGTTTCGTTTAGTAACTGTATCATGAGCCGTGATAGCCTGTGAGCCGTGTTAGCATATGAGCCGTGATAGCATGTGAGCCGTGATAGCACGTGAGCCGTGATAGCTCAGTGTCTCGCCTTTAATTCAATACACTCGAGCAACCTGAGTTCGATCCCCAGTGTCGGCACCCATGAAATATTTAATTTTAAGTTCTGACTTATCACTTGCTCAGCGGCGAAGGAAAACATCGCGAGGAAACCTGCATATTTATTAAATAATAACATAAAAAAATATTTCAAAGATATGTGAAGTCCGTCAATCCGCAGTGGACGCCTTTGCCCAGCATTGGGACATGATTGTATTGGCTAATACTCAACTTAACCGTATCAAATTTCGTATAAATAAAATGTGACATTATTAATTAATTCCTGGTTCCAAAACTTCAGCCCACCGCAGTCCAAATTATCTTCTACTAAAAGCGAAAGACTCTTTTATTAAATATTATTACACTCCGTTACAGTAGAGGATCTTGAGACGTTACTTTAGTTTAGTTAAGCAATTCCACGATGTAATTACCATTTTGTTGGAGATGCTGATATACTTCTCACTGTTGTCAAATTCGTCCTTTCGCGTTGCTTCCGGCGTGTCCGTACGCTGGAAGTGACTCTCCCTGATCTGATTGTTTCCCATCCTCGAAAAGAAATAAGAAGCCGTGAACCTAAAATGCACTAAGATGTGATATTAAAAGTAGTGAATAAATGGACGAAAGCATTTTCGCCGGCGCTGAAATCGAACCCACGTATTTCGGAGTCGCACCTAGACGACTAATCTGAGAGGATAAAATAAGTGATAGTTAGAAATTTTAATCAATTTATCTCTTTCGCTGCTAAAAGTTATTGTGACACAATTTCATAAATATAGTCTGCTCCAAACGGAGAGCTTGATCTACCCATTGTTAGACAGGCTCTTAGCGGTTAAGCCAATTTTTTTAAATGATTGTCTTTAACACTCTGAACCCTGGATCCCGTCAGAGAACTATAACTTTTTTTTTTCGTTCTCTAAAAACATTGCCCTTACTTTAGGATAACATTATCCTGTGTTGTAAGGACGTTTTACAAACATAAATTACACGCGGACAAACACCCAGATGCGAAACAACTATCTGTGGGTCACACAAATAGTTGTCCCGTGTGGGGATCGAACCCACGACCAGCGACGCCGAAGCCAATACCTTGGCAACTGCGCCACGGGGTCATCAAGGATAACTCTAGAATTAAAAGCATTTCATAAGAATATGGCAAAGGGATATATGACAACAGAGACACAGAGGATAGGAATATACATAAGGGTGGTTCAGAGGATGTTGTCCCTAAACTCAATGTACCGTCCTAACAAATCTCATTAAACTGTTATACCATAAGAAAGCTGGGAAATTTGAATATTCCCTTATAGAAAAGTTATATTATATAAAGTTGTATTATCTAGTAAAATTATTTTTTACTGTAGTAAAATAATTTTATCACTTAAAATATTCATACTTAAACTGGAATTTTGTTCCATTGGAGTATGGAAAATGCTTCTTATATAATCTCATCTCATTAAAAAATCGATTGAAAGTTTTTAGGCAAATCCTATCAACGTAAAATAAAGTTTATAAGAACTCTAATAATGGTAGAGTTTTTACATAAGCCTTCCTTTCCTTTTAAGAAAGCAATGCTGAATCTTTCACCTTTTGTTTCAGTTGCCGAACTCCACAACAGTTCTTATAAAATGAAATAACTTAAGGTAACACCGGAATCAGCAGCAACAGAAACGATTAATCATATTGATCTCTTTGACAAGATAGAATGTTTTTATAATATACAATAATTAAATTTTATTACTAAAATTACAGAATTATTAAAATTGAAATAGTACTTAGAGTGTGTCGCCCACATACGGTGTAGTCGAAGGAGTAGAATTCAGATATAGTCGAGATCATTGAGCTAAGGAAAATATTGTAATTATAAAAGGCTAATCTTTTGTTTTTATCTTTTACTTTTATTCCAAATGTAGGATTTAAATATAGAAACGGACTTTGTTCGCTTTTGTGTAAAACAGCTTTATTGTGCATCTTACATCTCAAAAGGCTACGGAATTTCAAGGTGCTTACATAAATGGCGTAGCATCCATGCACCTCCGTGTGCCTACATCCTAAATAATTACCACTTGGTGCGACATAACTCGTCCCTTTATAGCTAGGCCCGAAGCATTACTATGACAACAGCATCAATGTTATTGGCGACACAGTCACGGAATACAACTAGGCGCTGTTAATGGCCGTTTAAAAATAGTTTGCTTCTCGTTTTTATCGCGATTCGTTTGTTTACTTATTTTACTACGTTTTGTTCACGATTTCATCACATGTTTGTTCCGCTGCCTTGATTTTGTGTCATCAATATTGAATTTCATTCAATTCTTGTCATTCATTCTTGAGTGTGAAGTGTTCACATTTCTTCGGACTAATTAATCTCATCGATAAAAGGCGTTGGAGGACAGTATCTTTCTATACGTTTCTTTTTCTACTTTCTACTTTTATTCAATCCAAAGTTAAAACGTCGGTCTTCTGTGAGGTCGTGGTACTTCCCTGGACGGACCTGCCCATTCGTGCAACAGCAAACTGTTGCTTAGCCCTACCACAGTTAAAACTTTAATAAAAAAATGTATTTAAGTAGCATTGGTATAGTAAATGTAATATATTGTGTGCGCTTAGTTCAAGGAGAAAATATCAATTTCGTTTTATCTTGCAAAAAAGAAACTCAACGAAAGATAGAACAATAAAAACTATTTTAAAAGTTAATTGCTCAGGAAACAAGCAGAAGAAAAAACAAAAGCAAAAGTCACCTATAATCTATTATTAAGTGATAGGAAAAGTACGGATGAAAAAGATATCAAAAAAGAAGAAAAAAAATACTACTATTTGGCAACCAGCTGCGTTATTAAGTAATTAATTTGCATGTTTGACATCGTCAAGAGCAAACGGAATAAATCTGGGTTCCGTGGAAAATTTAAAGGAGCTCCTCTGTGATGGTTGTACGAGTTGTACGAAATGTTGCACGAATGGGCAGATCCATCCGGGTAAGTACCACGACCTCGCATAAGATCGGCGTAAAGTCGAAGTTATACATCTTTTCGTCTGGTGAGTCAGGTAGCTGGGGCCCACTCTATTAAAAGGTGGCAACGCATCTGCAACCCTGCGCGTATTGCAATTGTCAATGAGCGGCGGTTGCCACTTAACATAAGGTGAACCGCCAGCTCGTTTGCCACTTCTCACATGAAAAAAATAATTAGTCCAGCCATACAGTTCAAATTTAAACATGCGACAATGCTGCTTGCGGTTCGCTAGCATACATCTCTGGACTGTAGGCTGGGGCTTTATGAAACTTAACATTGGGTGAACAGTCGTTAGTAACGTTAGAGAAGATGGCGAAAAATTGCAAGCGAATTTAGTTTAAAGTTAAATAAAAGGTACTAATAAATATTAAAAAAGTATTATCTTTTCTTTATTACTCGAGTGTTTTTTTTTTCTGATAACATCATATCTCCCTTGATTATTTGTTCAATCTTCATTTTTATGAATGCTTATTTCGTCCGATATCGGTGAAAAATGGACAAATAGAGCAAAGTTAACGTTTTCGTTAAAAAAAAAAAAAAAACATTCTTTAATATTAATGACGCACATTTAATTGGATATAATAACCGAAAGCGATGTTAGTATCTCGCCTTTTTGTTCAAGGCTGGGGCCGAGTTCTAGCATGAGGAAAAGAAGAAAAAAAAACCTTTTGTTGTTCACGTTTTCTAAAGGTCTCCCCTGCCGTAAGTGCATTGTGGCAATAAGTGAAAAATTATGCTAATTGGCGTATCGAGAATATGTATATCCTATTAATGTCCTGACACTCATTGATAAGCAGAAAAGCTTCCAAATTTTTAGGGTTCCGTACGCAAAGGGTAAAACGAGACCCTATCAATAAGACTCTGCTATCTGTCCGTCTGTCACCAGGCTGTATCTCATGAACCGTGATAGTTAGACAGTTGAAATTTTTACGGGCGATGTATTTCGCTCTATACAAATATTTAAAAAAAAAACAGAATAGACAAACATTTAAGCGGGGCTCCCATATGACAGACATGATTTTTTGCCGTTTTTATAGATAATGGTAAGGAATCCTTCGTGCGCGAGTCTGACACAAACTTGGCTGGTTTTTAATCCTCGCAAAGAGTAGGCACTTCCTATCTTTACATATGTTAACCTGAAACCTTAACCTATCCCTTAGATTTAGGCTTTAGGTTAAAGGAAAGCTTCCTTCTTGACGACCCGAATGGCGTAGTCGGTAGTGTGCCTTCTGCGCCAGAGGGTGTGGGTTCGATCCCCACAACTGGAAAAATATTGTGTGATGAGCATAGTGTTTTTCTAGTGTCTCGGTGTTTATATATGTATAATGTGTATTTATTTACAAAAGAAAAGTATGTTTAAGCATGTCTATCAGTTTTCTAGTACCCATAGTACAAGCATTGCTTAGTTTGGGACTAGAGAATGTTGTGTAAAAAGGACGTGTCCTAAAATTTATTTATTTATTTATATTTATTTATTTATTCTTACTTTCATTAGCCACAAAGACGAAACATTGTCTATTCTATAAATTTAAATTGTTTATAGTGCTAATCTTTGCACTTAAGATTGAACATTAAAATATGTAGAAAAAGTGCGAAAAGATTGTCGCCGTTGTCGGAATCGAACCCACGTCTTCGGCTGATTGCCGTCGAATTATCGTTGTAAAACGATATTCGAAATTGTTTGTATGCTGGAAAGGATATAACAATAGATGGCGCCAAGCATTGCTTCAAATGCTAAGAAAACAATGTAGAAGAATGCGTTAAGATTTTCGTCGGTGTGGCAATCAGCCGTTTAGCTCAGTGGCTAGAGCGTCAGGCCGTGAATGCCGAAGACGTGGGTTCGATTCCCACAACGACGACAATCTTTTCGCACTTTTTCTACATATTTTAATTGTCTATTCTATTTTAACATATTTTAACATGTAACGTTTTATCAATAGGTGTGTAGTTAATGATGGGAAGATTTAATAAAAGATTTATTAGCAGTTAAGATGTTGTATTTATCCCTTCAGTTTAAAGTTACAATCCCTGGACTAGCTCAGATACAATATTTTTTTAAAATATAATAATAAAAATGAGTTGGGCGCCTTGTCTGTTAGGAACAGACTGTTGTAATAATTACAATTAAGTATCTCAGGGAGTCGTGAGTACATAGGACCTACACATTACTTTGTGCGACCATAAACGGTTAAATAATTAAATTAATTTGAGATGGTATAAGTTATGCAATTCAATTTAAAAATCAAAGTCCAATCAGGTAGTTATTTTAAGTCTTTGTCACCGCAGACACCAGCCCTGTGTGCACAGGTCAGCGTTGAGCTCAGATCCAGTAGAGAAAGTCAGGCCAAATGTAGTGTGTACAGCCACACTGTTGGGGGGTAAGTAGGAGACCTCCTGCCAACAAACACTACATTGTAGAACTAACAAAGGCAGGGATATGAATCTACCTACACTTATAAAGATGTGAAACGCTTACCAACTGGAGGTAAAAACAATATTTAATCAAGCAGCAGCTCAGACCAGCTTGCCAGCCACCT